CAGCTTGCAGAAGAGGAAACAGGATCAGAGAGGAAAAGGAACTTGTCTAAGGCCACACATCTAGTGGGTGAAGAGACTGAGACTCGAACCCAGGTGTGCTGGTCTTGGGGCTTCTCCTATGGCTAGTTGCAGCTCTGCCTCCAGCTCAAGCCCCAGGAGAAGAGGGCAGGTGGACTGGAGGCCATGATTCAGGCTCTGTCTTCCCAGGGACTCCAGACTTGTTTTCTTATTTCTTCCAGCATAAACCTATTCTGTGGCCCTGACTGGGGTGGCTCCATGGGTTGGGCATTATCCTGCAGACCGAAAGCTTGCCAGTTTGATTCCCCTTTGGGACACATGCCTAGGTTGCAGGCCAGGTTCCCACATGGGGGCTTACAAGAGGCAACCAATTGATGTTTCTCTCCTCTCTTTCTCCCTCCCTTCCCCTCTCTAAAAATAAATAAATAAAACCTTTTAAACCTATCTCATGGCAGTTACTCCCAGGGACCATTGTCTGCTTCCCGGGAGTTCTTGCAGGGCAGAGCCTGGATATTATTAGTGTGTCCATGGCCTCACATGCAATAGGAGCTCTCTCAGGGCAGGAACATTGTTGGGTGGGTGGGTGGGTGGATGGATGGAAGAATAGGGTCACCAAGATGAAGAACGATGCCTGGGAACTCTTTCAGAGTTTTCTCTACTCTCTACGAGATAATTCAGCAAAGAGTCCCTGAAGTCCCCCCAGCACTGAGCCCTGTTCTGAGTGCTAATAGGTGGAAAAATCGAAGCTACTACAACACAGCTGAGGCACAAAAGCTTACAGCAACTCAGAGGAGGCTGTGCCTAGAGAATCCCAGCAGGCTGGCCCTCGCCCCTGCCCACAATAATGCTGGGAACCAGTTGCTACTTCCGGCTGCCTGGGAGTCACTGGGGAAAAAAAACCATTGTTTAGCTTGGAGCTTGGCCCTTTCCTACCACTCAGTCCTTCCCTTTCCTATTGTCCTTGTCCTCTCATCATAGTACAGGATGCAGCTGCCAGCAAAACAGCAAAAAGAATGGGGAAGGGGTCAGGGGAAGCAGATGAGGCCATCCCAGGAGAAGGAAGACGCTTCAGCTGCAAAGGCACAGACAGCAGGCACCATGTCAGTCAGCATGATGTGGGGCACTGGGTGCAGAACTCAGGCTTCAGAGGCGGACAAACCCCTATTCAAGTTCCAGCATCTGCACTGATGTCCTGTGTGTCCCTGGCAAGCCTCTTGCAATCCCTGAGCATCAGTCTCCTTCTCAGTCCAGCAGAGATGAAACACTTACCTAGTGAAAACTAGCTTATTGAGGTATTAACCCCAAAATGCCTGATACCTAAGTATTTTTAAATGTTCATTTCTGTTCTCCTCCCCCTTTTAACCATAGCAAAACACCAGGAAAAATTATTGCAAAGAGCGTTCTTAGAGTAGGTGAAAGAAGAATTTTCTATTAGGTAAATAATGATATATCATCAAAATCACATTTAGTAAATCTGTAACAAACCTCATCTAATGATTAACCACATTAATGGAACAGCTGACATTTATTGCACACTTACTATGAGTCGAGCACACTACTTCTTCACAGCTACTCTGTGAGCTAGCTGCTATCAGGGCCAGCTTCTTGGGTGTGTGACCAGTGCAGCTGCACAGAGCCTCCTGCTCAGAAGGGCGCCCCCCAATTGGGGTTTAATGTTCTGTGGTTGCCATCTTGAAATGTTAATCATTTTGTTTTTGAATTTGTGTTTTTTAAATGAAGTCTGATGGACATTGGAGCCCTGCAGTCTCAGCTCACATGTAGTCCTACCTCTCATCACCTCCCCACCGTCTCTTCCCCTAAATGGGTTCTCAGCTGCCCGTTACCCTGACCTTCTTCTGTCCTGGGCAGGGGCCTGGGTGCAGGGAAGATTAACATGGGGATTCATGCCACATCAGAGGTAGGGTCCTATGTCCCTGTTTTCAGCCCCATGCCCAAGGGAGCACAACATTCAACAGTAATGAACAGCATGACAAGCTGAGCAAGAAATAACAAAAGAAAGAAAACAAATTTTTCCTGCTTTTTAACAAAGGGCCTTGCATTTTCACCTGATTTGGGCCCCACAAGTCAGGTAGCTAATCCTAGGTACTATTAGGAGCCCTGGAACTAATTTCTAACTATGAGCCTGAACAGGTCTGCCCCCACTCCATGCCTTGGTTGTCTGTGGAGTCTTCCAAACTAGCACAGGCTCTCAAGATTTGGCTTTGCCACTTACCCCGGATGGCATTTTGCACACAGGGGAGCCACCTTTGCTCATTTTCCCCACAGAGCTGCTAAGGAGGATTCAGCAGGCATCACCTCTTACCCTGCCACAAGTCACTTTGTAGCATATAAAGTCACTTCCTCCCCCAAAAAGCTATGAGAAGCAGGCTGGGCAAGGAATATTCTTATTCCCATTTTACAGACAGGAAAGTTAAAGCACTGGAACTGCTAAGTGACCTACCCAAGCTCACACTGCACCTCAGGCAAGCAGGGCTCCACAGACACAGCGTCATATAACGAACATCCCCCAATGAAAAGACGGATCACATCCTTGGGGAGTCCTGGTGTAGGAGGGCACCAGGGCTTTTCAGTGCAGGAGCCCTCACTCTGAGAGAGCTGGCTTTACCTCTGGTCTTTAGGGTTCCAGGTCTGAGGGAGGAGACCACAGAGGTGCCAAGAGCCTCTGAAAGAAGAAAAACACCTGGCCAGCAGCTTTCAAAGGGTGACTCATCATCCTATGGGATGTTTACCTAGCACAGGAGGGATATTATAAATAGGTCCATAGACAAACAGGCAGACAGATGGACCAAACAAAAGATCCAGCAGAAACATCCCCTTAGCTCTCTACTCCTCCAGTCTCCCCACCCATGACCAGCCCACTCACCAGTCCTGGGGGAGGTGTCCACCCACAGAGAGGGCACAGCCTGGATGACCAGAAGCCATTGCAACTGGGTGATACATTTGTGGCCTTACCTCACTCCTGTGGGTTGCTCAGCCCATGGTTCCCCTGTTGTGGCTAGTAAGAGAGAGGAATTAAAGTTTTTATTTAATGTTGATTAAGTTAAATGTATTAAATTGTCATACATTACTAGTGATTACTGGGCTGCATGGCCCTAGAAACAAAAGAAGACAATAAAAGCAATAACTTGGCACCATAATTCGGGGCTTCGAAAGCACTTTCACGGGCATCTTCTCATTTGTCTATCCTCATTTTTCAGAGGAGGAAACTGGAGCTCAGAGAATTTAAATGGCTTCCATGCTAACAAAGACAGTAAGGATTAGAACCATGATTTAATCTCAGATCTCTTGATTCCAAAACTCCACTCATATATCTCTGTCCACTTATGTAAGCATCACATATTTATCAGATAGTTGTTATTAGGTGCCTGCCTCGGAGCTAAACACGGAAAGACAAACAAGACAGGCCCCGGCTTTGGGTGTGCCTCCCTGACCAAAGACGCAATTGCCACAGTAAGAATGACAGTGTAATTGTCCCAGTGCAAATTAAGTGACTTTCTTCATGTAGCTCAAAGCGCTCTGCTTTAAACACCATGTATATCTGATAACTCTCATGTTTGTATCTCAGGTCCCTATCTCTGCCCAAAACTCCAGATGGAGGTCCCAAAGAGCCATTTAAATACTGAATTGGCTTCTCAAGCTTGCCCCACACCTTCTCCCCACCATCTCTGTAACTGGCAATTCCCTTCTTCCAGTTGCTCCACCCAAAATCTCTGGAGTCCTCTATTACCCCTCCTTCTTTCATACCCTTCATCTAATCTGTCAGGAAATATCATTAGCTCCACCTTCAAAAGCATCCAGACGCTCACCATCTCTATTACTGCCACCCTATTCTATCATCATCTCTATTTGTACTGGTTTCCTGGTTTCCTTTGTCCCTCTCTTCCTTCTAATTCTCTTTTCCACACAGTAGCCAGCGTGATCTTTTTTAAAAATTTAAGCCAGAGTATGCCTCCTCTCAGCTTAAAGCACTAATGATTTCCCAAAGACCTCACCACCGTCCATAAGGCCCCTCACACTCTGGCCCCTGATGATTGTCTGACCTCATTTCCCACCTCTCTCCTCTTCGCTCTTCAGGTCCATCCACACCAGGTCTTCTAAGACAGATCTTCCTGATGACCATTGCACAATTCGCTCCCTCTCTTCCTGTCTCTAACCAAATGACCCCCTAACACAGAGGCATTCCCCATGCCCTTATGTTTCAATGTTTTCATAACGCTTGTCACCTCCTGACATTTAATGTATGTGTCTGTTGTTGCTCTCCTCCCCCTAGAATGTAAGCTTGGCAGATAAAATACAGGACACCAGTTAAATTTGAATTTCAGATTAAAAAAAAAAAAAACTGACTTTTCAGTATGAAGATGTCCCAGAAGCTGCCTAGGATATAATGGTACTTAACACTAACAAGCTATTCATTTTACTGAGTGTCCTGTATTTATTTTTATTTGCTAAATCTTGTATCCCTAACCATGAAGGTAGGGGCAAGTAGTTATTTTATTCATTGCTATATCTCCAGCGCCAGAACTGCTACTGACACATAGTAAGCTCTCACATACTTATGGAATGAATGACTGTTCAACCGGCTCAGGAATCTTCAACACGCCTAAACTTTATAATAAACAGCCTGCAAGTCAGATGGGGCGGAGCCTCTAGGCTGGAAAAGCTCAGTTCACAATTAGGGGCCAGGGGGGCTGACGAACTTTCCAAGTAGGTGGAGCAGCTGCGTACCCCACCAGCCGGGACGCCGGCCCCTCGAAAAACAAAACTCCTCCCAGCTCCGGTAAGCAACACGCCTCTCAAGTTAAAGGCCCTCTCAAGCGCAGGCAAGGCCTAGCCCCCAACCAAGGCCCAGCCCCCAACCAAGGCCCAGGGCCCTTTAACGCCCCTCCCACCGTCTCCGCGAGCACCCCGGGTGTGACGTCCCAGGCACACGGCCAATGGAAACGAGGCTTACTGGCAGGCGGTGCTGGGCGGTTCCTGCCAAAGAGGAAGGGAACTAGGGCAGTAGCGATGGCCCCGGGCTGGAACTCCGGGCCACCTCACCCTCCGCCAGCGTTGCGAGAGAAGCCGCGGCCGCAGCCGAAGAGGGGGCTGGAGTCGCGGCTGGAGTGGAGGAGGCACATGTGAGTTGCCGGGAGTTGCCGGTGCCGGAACACCTCAAACTCTAGGCGGGAGTTCAGGTATACTGATCCCGCTGTCGCCACTCCGCACCGGCGCCCCCTCCCAGGCCTAGACAACAGGGCTGGGGTCTCCCTTGGTGCTGGACTGGCTCCTCTCAGGCCGAGCCCTCCACGCCTGTCTTGGACTCTCTGCAGACTCAGGACGGAAGCTGGAGGACAGTGAGCACCCCCGATCCGGGCATTTTCTTGTCGCCCAGGCTGTGTCCTAGTTGTAGCAACTGGGTGCCTCCTCCTGCTGCCACCTCTCCAGCTAGGGAGGCACTGGCGCCTTCCCCCTGTCTCGTTCTGCGTCCCTCCCTTTCCTCCCATTCGACAACAAATTTGTTTTCCCTCTCCATTGGGAATCCTGTCTCAGAAGTCTAAAACACCTATCATTAGCGGAGCTGAGAACCAGTCGTTCTTGACTTGGCTTTTTATCCCCTTTGGGAGATAAAAGTTGTCACCTTAACACTCTCGTAACTGACACTTCACACCCAGGACCTTATTCATTTGGATCACCAGCTAGCTGTCTGGCCATATCCCACCCAACTGAACTCCATTTTCCCCTGGGCTCCAATCTCCAGCTTCCAGTAGATCTGGTCAGTCCCACCCCTGGGTGGGAGTGACCAGGGGGCTCTGGCCCAGGATCCTCCATCCTGGAAGGCAGCTCCAAGGTAGCAAGAGAATTAGGGGTCGGGTACGAACCTGGCAGCTCAGGAGTGGGTGCCCCACTCACCCCACATAAGAAGATGAAAAAGCGCAAAGAGCTCAATGCATTGATTGGCTTATCTGGAGACGGCCGGAGAAAGAAGCCCAAGAAAGGCTCAGGCCACCGCCTGCTTCGCACTGAGCCTCCTGACTCTGATTCTGAGTCCAGCTCAGAGGAGGAAGAGGAATTCGGTGTCATTGGAAATCGCTCTCACTTTGGCAAGTGAGTGATGCAGTGGTGAGGGTTGGGATGGGAAAAGACATCTTGCACTACCAATGAGGCAAATGGAAGAGAAGGAGAAGGGAGTTCTTACAAACAAAAAAGGGTATAGTCCTTGGAATGCAAAAAGGGAAAAAAGTTTTTAAGGAGGAGATGAGCTCAAGTCCTGAATGAAGGATAAATTAGAAATCTGTCTCTAAGTGTACAAAAAAAAAAAAAAAAAGAGTTCTGAGTCTACAGTGGAAGTGTGGACGTGGGGAATATGCCAAGAACCCAGAGAGACCAAGTTGGGAGTAGCTAAGGATAGGAGCAGAGAAGCTTTTAGAACTAGCCTTTTTTTCTTAATTGTAGGAGAGACCAGGACATTAAGAAAAGGTTATTTTATTTGCACGTTATTTATTGCACTCTTGATGAGTCTGAATCTTAGTGGTGAGAGAATATGGTGAGGGGCATACTGTAGAAGCTATGATCCTTGAGAGTAATTGAGCTTGGAGGACAAAAAGAAGAGATGACTCTTTTCCAAACCACGTTTAGATGCCACTATACAAATCCAGTAGGGATCATTGGGAATTAGGACTCAGGGTTAGGAAGAGGCTGAAGGGAACCTTGGCGATGCCTTGCACCCTCTCAGGGATTACATTAGAAGAAAAGTATTCTACTGAAGATGCGGAAGCAAGGTGCAGGCAGAAGGTTGGGGTGCTAAAAGAGATTGAACCCTTTGCTTGAGGTTGGTTTGTTTCTTTAGAATGTCTTTGTCCTTTTCTTTTGTTAAAGGAAAGATTTTGGCTTTTGAGCTTTGCCAGATTATATAGTTAAGGACAAAATCCTAGGTTTGGGTTGTGAAGATCTGATGAAATGAAATAACACGACTGGAATAGTTATCCTGTCGGGTTAGTTTAGATCTTCAGTGTTGGTTAAAGTTTGCTGTGAAATCTACCCCCTTTCAATGCTTCCTTTCTTCTTAAGAGCCAATAAGCTAGAGTGTACCAGGTATCTACTTAAACCTACAGTTCCTATTTCTTTCATTCCCTTCACAGTAAAACTTGCTCAAAAGTTTATGAAGTTTTAATAAACTGAAGCAGGATCCCCAGAAGTGAGTACATATTTGACAGAGACAGATAGGTAAATTACTCTGCAGTGATGAAGTTGCAGAGAAGCTCTGGTCATCACACCTTCCTAACCTGAGATTGTTCCAGAAACCTGAATCAATGGTGATGGCAGTGAGCTGCAATTTCCACAGGTGCTTCCTCTGGCCTACAGGAAGTCCCTCTGTTTCATGTGAAGTTTGAAACTTTTGAACTGAATAGATGAACTCTTCATAGGTCATATTATTTAGTTATTTTCAACTTGCCATTCAGATATAAATGTATTACCTTATATTTCCTGGGAAATCAACTGGTTATTCATTTAAAAAGACAGTTGCCTAGCAACACACATACGCTATTTCTAATAAAGCTGTGCTCATAATCACTTTTGTACTCCTGGTTGAATTTGTTCTTGTGATCAGGGGAGACTATTTACGATGCTGCAAGATCTGTTATCCCCTCTGTGCTTTTGTCATCCTTGCCGCCTGTGTCGTGGCCTGCGTTGGCTTGGTGTGGATGCAAGTTGCTCTGAAGGAGGATCTGGATGCCCTCAAGGAAAAATTTAGAACAAGTAAGTGGTCTCATATTTCAGAGTATAACCTTGCATTCTTTTCCAGGGTCTAGGACAAAGTGGACTATATTGAACTAAGAGTTTTGCCCACTGGTGAACATGCATTTTTTCAGCATTTTTAAATCCTCTTTCTTGGCTGTCAGCTTGTATACAGTAATAGTTATTTGTTTTAAGCACAAACAAACAAAAAAAACAATGCTTATGCACCATCAGGACAAATAGTATTTGAAAAATGGCATTATAGGCAACACTTAGGATAGTCAACCCAGAAGGGAAGTGCTAAGGTTCAGGAGTCAAACCTTGGTTAACCTCTACCTCCTTCCACTTTATACTTCCCCAGGTACAAAGTGGCAGCAGTAACACTGGGCTACTTCCTTTTTCCTCACAGGGCCATTTGAGAAAGAACATGGGAACCTCCAAAAATTTTCCTCCTTAAAAACTGTATAGGAAAATAGGAACAGGCAGTAATAATAATAGCCAGCATTTATGAAGTGCTTACTGTGTGCCTAGTCACAAAAAATGTCTTATGAGCGAGTTTTAAAGTTTAAGTTAATGAGTTTTATATGTTCTAAATTGTAAAGTTGTACTTTTCACATCCAAAGTACTTGTTCTAAAAGACGTGTTTGCATGATAGTTTCTACCAGGTTTAACCTAAACATCTTCCTTTAGCAACACTATGATCTTCGATTCTAGGTGTCAAGGATTAATTTTCTAAGCTAAGGAACCAGTTCCCAAGCAAATAACAAGTACCCTAACCTTGGCAGCATTAGCACACCAGGAAACTGACCTCCAGGCTTTCTCCAGGTCATAAGGAAACCTGTCCCCAGAACTGAAATTAGAATTGTTTTCTTCCCATCTTAAGCCTTGGAAGATCACAACATCCTAGCTTTCCTTCACTCCAGATGTTCTTTGCTGCCTGCAGTCATTCAAGTTTGAACCTGATCTAGGGACAGCTAATCCTTAGTGTGTTGATGACATTTCTAGTGATGTTGCTTGGGAGAAAAAAATGTTGAAATATTAACTTTGATTTTCTTCTGAGTTCCTGATTCAGGGAATAGACTTGGTAAGTCCTAACTCTCTGCCAGAATCATCCGGACCTATATGTTTTATCAGCTGGTAGAATCAGAGTAAGAAAGAATGAGATCTGTATTCTAGTTATTGTCCCTTCTTAATGTTTGTCCTTAGCAGTATTGCAAGGTGTTTCAAGGCCAGTGTTTTCTTTGTAAGTAGTGATCATAACTTGGAAGGGAGGTTCTCAGAAACAACATTTAACTGTAAATAACCATGGAAGACACCTGCCTATGCCATCATCTCTCCTTCACTGGCTTCCTGGGTTAGGCTAGAGCTTGTTTTGATCACGTACAGCAATTATTTATTTATACATTTCAAAACATTGCTCAATTCTACCTTTTGGATTCCTTTCTCTGACTCCTGTGTGTTTGCAGGACACCCATGTAGTTTATACCTTAGCTTTTCAGCAAATTTCTTTGTCTAGAAATATATATTTTAAATGTATACATGTAGTAGACCAGGCAATCAATGAGTCAACACACATTTATTGAACACTTGTTAATACCTATTCCTAGAAATACCATATTCAAGACATTCCAGGAATTGTACCTGGATCTATGAAACCTGCATTCCCCTGAGACCAATCAGCCAGCTGAATGAAGCAGATTTAGAATGGTCAGCTGCTTTGTTGGCTTTGATTCACTGCAGCAGAGATGCCTGCACCTGTGATGGCTAAAGCAGTACTTCCTGAGGGGTTGGGAGTGAGGCCTGGCACATGTTGTCAGTCCATGGGCTGAACCAGTGTGGACCACGTGACCAAGTTTTCTGTGAAAACCATTACCTTGACTAAATGAGGTCAATAATCTTTCTTTGAATAATCTTTCTTTGAATTATGCTTCTGCTTTAAATATATTTCAATAAGTTAATTTTTACTTCTTGTTTTTCAAGACAGTGGAAGTTTTTCAAGACTGACTCAAATAAGACCATCTGCTGATCTGGCTTTAATACTTTTTTGAAAAATTCAGAGCCCATTGTTTTCTTTATTTCAATAAAATTTCCAAGACACTTGTGAGGAAAGGAGGTAGGGTTGCTGAAGTAGCTGAAACAAAGCAAAAGCAGATAGGCTTGTATTTTTGCCTTGTGTTCAGGGAGTAACTTGATCCTTAAGCTAAAAGTACTGGCTGGCCTTGAAACATAGCTCAGTATTCTTTTCCAGAACCAGGTACTTCAAAAGGCCTTCACGGTTATTCTAAGGAAGATTCTATTCCCCACCCTCCCTCTTTTTCACTCAGCTATGAAACAGTAGCGTGACAGAAAAGTTGAAAAAGAAGAAAACTATGAATGAATTAAGCATCTCTTTTATGGTCATACAGGCTGAGTAGAAGTTTGGTCATACAGTATAGAACTTAAAAATGGTCTTGTACTAATGAGGGTATTAGGATGCAAGTGTTTCTGATAGCTGGAGTATGCCAGAAAGAGCACTGGTCCTAGGAGCAAAAGGTTTGACTGTTGAAGCCCAGCTTGCTCATTGCTAGCTGGGAAACTTGGACAGGTCACTTATTCTTTCTCAGCCTTCACTTCCCCATCCATAAAACTTAAAGATGTGTTTGTGCTCCCAAAGCACTTTGGGCATTTCTCTGTCATGGTGTCTATCACACTGTATAGTAACTGTAACAATGCCTTGCTCCCTGCTCAATTGAGAGCTTCAGGGTCTTTTTATGAACTAGTGCTGAGTGCAAAGCTGGGCACATGGTAGGGGACTCAATAACAAGTTTAATAGTTACATAAAAGTTTATTGCAAACTATAAAGACTTATAAAATATTGCTTTTGGCTTTATATGTTCTGTATGAAGGGTGTATGCAGAAATCTTCATTTCCTGATCTTGAAGATCAAGAAAAGAGCTAAGTTCGAGTATTAATATACTAAATTTTAAATGAGTTGCTTTCCGTGTTGAAAGAACATGCATAAGTCATCATAAGTCATTGGTTTGCTACATTTCCTCTCATTTATGTAGTTGGAGACCCTTGACTTGGCTTGCCTCTCCAAAAAGGCCCCAAATCAGACAGTGAATATGATCCCTTCTTTGCTCAGATAGTCCTTGGGATCTTGAATGTTTTCAGGGATTGTCAGCTTTTTAAGTTTATTAGTTGATAATTATAGCCCAAATTGTTTATGGGTTTTTCTTCCTCTTCCATTTCTACCTTCTGCTTAATTTGTATGCACTGCCAGAAAGAGAGAGACTTCCTGCCCTTTCCTTCATGCACACACACAAACACACACAGTCTCTCTCTCTTGGCATGTTTGACCACCTGGGAATGGCAGACCTGTAGGATGAGTTACTTTGCAATCTGACTGAAATTATAAAAGAAATTCACTGAAATACTAAGTGCTTCATGAATTTAGAATGGTAAAATGTTCTTATTGTATGAGATGGATGTAGTCCTACAAACTAGGTGTAAATCAAATGTTATGTTAAAAGTACTTAGGGAAGCCCTGGTCAGGGGGCTCAGTTGGTAGGAGCATTGTCCTGTGCATCAAAACTTTGTGGGTTCCGTCCCTGGTCAGGTTCAGTTCCCTGGTCAGTGTATGGGAGGCTACCAGTGGATGTTTCTCATTGACATCAATATTTCTCCTCCTCTTCTCTCTCTCTAAAATCAATAAACATGCCCTGGCTGGTGTAGCTCAGTGGATTAAGTGCAGGCCTGCAAACCAAAGGGTCGTCAGTTTGATTCCCAGTCAGGGCACATGCCTGGGTTGCGGGCCAGGTCCTGCTCAGGGGTTGCTCAAGAGGCAACCACACACCGATGTTTCTTTCCCTCTCTTTCTCCTTCCCTTCCCCTCTCAAAAAATACATTAAATTTTTTTAAAAATTAAATCAATAAACGTATCCTCAAGTGAGAGGTTGTTTTAAAAGTACTGTGTTTATAAAGAAGTTCTTTGGTATTTATTTTTGAAAAATGGATAAAAACATCTAATTTCTTTTAATAACTCTGATTTTTCAGATAATGGGCTCTGTTGTAGTAGCAATACCACCATATCACCTACCTCCTACTCCCCCAACTTCTCCCTCCTTGTTGGTCGTCTTTTATGATTTTAGTTGAGGTTATTGCGTTTTCTTGGTTTAACTTAATAGGCTAACATTATCTCTATTTCATATCCTACCGTTATTTCACTGGACAGGCATTTGAGTTCTCCTGTATACCTGGCACTGTGGTGGGCCCTGGGAATGCATAACAGATAAGATTTGTTCCCTGTCCTCTTGCAGCTGCCAGTCTGGTGGAGGACACAGACAAGTACGTAGTTACAACACAGTATGTTGAGTGCTTGGTCAAGTTAGGAGTAGTAAAGAGGTGGCAGTGGTCCAAGGTGGAGATCCAGCTATTTGTGCTGAATCTTGAAATGATTTAACTAGGGTGGCAAAAATGAAGAGGGGGTAAGCTAAGGACATCTAGGCAGAAAAGATAGAGCATACAGGGTCACCGAGGATTCAAAAGGTGGATGTGCCAGGAAAATGTGCTTGACTAGAAAGTGGATCGAAGAGGCAGCTAAAGTGATGAGAAATGTGGTTAAGAGGTAAGCAAAGGCCAGAGTTATCCAGTCAATAATACTGAGTGCCTGCCACATGCAAGGTATATTCTAAGTGGTGACCATGCAGAAATGAACAAAAATGTCTTGGTACTTAGATTTTAGTAAATTGTCTTTACATCTGTCCTGTGTGCCAGTTTTTGATTTTAAAGAAAGCATATAATAACTAATCTAGCACTATTTTAAAAAATGGTGTAGGTTTTATTTTGCAGGACCAGCCATTATTACTTTCCATGAAAAGGGAAATTAGTTTTTAATGTAAGAAGAGAAAGCACTCTTTCGGGCCTCTTGCCTTCTGGCTCGCAAATCTCTAAACCATTCAGGAGATACTGTTTCCCAAAGGAAAGCCAAATATCACCTTCTACTTAACCTAACATGTTTCTTTATCTTCTTTTACTTTGAGCTTTTGGGTTGATTTAAGAAAACACTCTGCTATTTATGAAAAAGGTTTAAAATCTTAGTCCTTGTAACAGTACTTGAAAGGTGGTAAGAACCCATCTTGCATTTGACCAATCTGAGGTAGAGAAAAGTAGACTTGTGCACTTAGAGATATAACTTATGATGTCACCTGGGGCATTAACAGTAAGGCTTATAAATATTCATTGACTACTCAATCAATACTTAACATTTATGTATCACTATATACCATTCACTTCTAAAATCATGTAGAGTATACATTATCTCTGTATTACAGATGAGGAAGCCAAGCTCAAAAAAGTTGAGTAATTTTCTCAAGATCACAGTAAGTTACAGAGTTGGGATTCAAGTCCAACTCTTACTGCTGATATTCATTGTTATCATTTTTAACCACCTGACTTTTAAAGTTGTCTTGCCAATAGTGAAATAGCCCCAGTTAACAGGAAGCTTTAGTGTTAAAGATACACGTTTACGTAAAGGAAAGAATATGTAATTGATAGATATAAATTTAGTCATTATCCTCCCCTAGTTAATGTTTGTGAATCAATGTTTATGAATTCATACTGTATAATCATTTTTTTCTTCTTGGAGCCATGAGGAAATTTTATGGCTATGTATGATTGTTCTTATTTTTGCTTTTAGTGGAATCTAATCAGAAAAGTTCATTCCAAGAAATTCCCAAGCTTAGTGAAGAACTACTCAGCAAACAAAAACAACTTGAGAAGATTGAATCTGGAGAGCTGGGCTTGAACAAAGTCTGGATAAGCATCACAGACATGAACAAGCAGGTAGCAAATGTGCGATTTTTATTTCTGTGTAAGCTATGAATATTTAGTTTTGTTTATTTGGACTGAATTTGTAGGTATAGGGAACTCCAAATTGTTTTACTTTTTGCAATGGTTTTTCCATATTGTGATTCCAACACATTAAATTCGGATAAAATAGGTAATAATTATGCATTTACCAAATAATTGAAATGTTAAACCTTTCTGCAAAGGATAGTTTGACAAAGTAGAGCAGTTTAGAGGGAGTTGGAAATTCTTCTTGAGCCAGCTGTCCTAAGAAGCAGTATAGGTATCAAATTTTTTTTTTAAATGCCATCTAGCCATCAATAAAGAAGAGAGTAAGTAGCCTATTGGTTTAGATAATGAGAGCTTATTTTGTTTAATAGAGGTTACAAACTTACACAGTCTTGAAGTATGGTGCCATACACTATACTACCAATCTGGAACCCACCCACAGCTAATGATACTGGTTCTGGCATAGCATAGGAGGAGGTGGCAGAACTGGTTAAATACCTTTGCTGGCAAGCAAGCCTCAGGGAAACACTTTTCCATTCCTTAAAAGGATTTTGATCAAGCATCTTGCATGTATATAAGTTGCCATTAGGTAACTAATTCCCCTATCCTCAGTTTGTGCAGTTTAATTAGGAAAGATGTGCATTGAAAGGAAAACTCCAGGACCAAATGAATGGTATACCAATGAAGAGCTTCAAAATGGATATGCCATCCTTGTTGGGTCTAAGAGGATATTCTGTTCTTCAGAATGAAGTCACAAAGTTCAGAATCAGCCAGTGGCAAGGAGCACTGCACTGGGATAAAGGGCCTACACATATTTCTGAAGCTGCCCACCTTTTAGCAGTAGTGCAGGAGTGGGGCAACTCATCACAGAAGGCCAGAGAGCTATGGCTGGGGGCCGTGGTTTTACAACTTTTGCCTGGAACCCACATAGGAAATGTTTTACATCATTCTGCAGTAGGCAAATACATACATATATGTAACTGAAATAAGTTTCTGAAAACATTAGCTTATCCTTAAAATTATGATGCCTTATGATATTTTTCTATTCAATTCTATTTTGTTTTTTTAAATTATGTGTGAAATAATTGGTCAATTACAGTATTTACTCATTACCATTTATCTTTGGACTCTTGGGATTTAGGAAAAAGCAAGTATTCACTCCTTTTTAAAAAAAAAAAAAAAAAGAATAGGATAAACTGTGGCCTTGTATTCACAGAGCGAATGAGCAGTTTGGCCAGAGATTACATCAAGTGAGGTGAAGCACTGAGAGATAATTAACATCTCTCACTGGGGCAAATGGGAGATTCCATTTAGGGGGTCATGGAGTTTACAGTTCTGAGCAAGAATGAGATCTTTAGGGGAAAAGCAGGCAATGTCAGCTATTTCCCATCTTGTAAGTCAGCACATGAGAAGAGTCAAAGGGGAAGGCTGTACTTGGTGTGTGACACAAGGGTTTCCAAACCTTTTCTACATTTTTTTGTTTTCTCGGTTCTCTTTAATTCAGAATCTAGAAACAAAATGATCATTTCATTCCTGTCCTGGCTGTTACTTTCAATGTAAAAAGTACCTGGGAAGGAAGGTACACAGGAAAGTCTGCTTCAGTCCTAGGGCTTCATATACAAACTAGGAGGGATTGAACTGAAACCGTTTCCGTTTTAGCTTCAGTAGATCTTCAGAGATGAAGAGACTGACTGATGAAACTGACCTGAGGCAGAGAAATTCTCTGCCAGCATGGGCGCAGAAGGGCACTTGGTGGTGACAGAGCTTTACAATGGTCCAAAGGGAGCATATCGTTCTCTGAGTGATTTTCTAGAATTGTTACACATCCCTGGTGGAAAGGCATTTGTCCCAAACCAGAATAGGTATAAAAGCAAAATTAATATAACTGTGTTTCTTTATCTAAGGGTAATTCTCTCGATTAAGATGCTTTTAGTTAGCAACATTTTTTAAAGTAAAGTGGCTTAAATAACAACACCAAAAAAATGTATTTAATCACTTAACAAGGACCGCCCTTATCACAATATGAGTTGAAGTTAATGTAGCCTGAAAAAAAAAGAAGCCTTTAGTCCAAAATAAGTTGAAATCAATTTTACATTGAAAAATAAACTAGTGTTAAAATCCCATTTGCTTTCCTGTTTTATTTATGAAAACTCTGATTGCATACCCATGCCCATTCTCAGCCAATTTCGGGAGTCTCCTCTCCCTTCTTTGAAGACTGTTAATCAACAAATGTTTAATGAGCTGCTTTTATGGAGTCAGGCCTTGGATTCCCATGCTCAAGGCTCTTACAGTCAAATGAAGGAGAAAGGAAAGGAAATAGTTGTAAAACAGCCTGGTAAGCAATAAGAAGCCAGCCTACCTAAGCTGGTGGGGGCATTTTTTAGGTATGTATCTAACCCAGACTGGCTGAGATCAGGCGAGGCTTCTCAGATATCTTGAGCTGAGTACTGAAGGGCAAATAGGAGTTGGCCAGATGAACTCTGCAGAAAGAGAGAGGGTATCTTCATTAACGCACTAGATCCACATCATTTGCAGATTCCATATTTTGCAAATTCACCTACTAGCTAAAATTTGTAACCCCCAAATTTGTACTTGTGGTGCTTTCAGTGACAGGCATACAGTGGGGGAAAAATGAATCACCCCATAGGAACGTTTCCAGTTGAGGTCAAACAAGGCCACAGTCTGTTCATACTGTAAACAAGTTTTCTTTTCATGATATATTTGGTTTTTACATTTTCGTGCTTTTTTTTGGTGAGTCCACTGCGTAAAATGCACACCTACCATAGTGTTGAAGTCTGTCCAGTATTGCCAAGTGCAAGAAAGCAGTGTTATGCCTTACAGTGAAAATATATGTGCTAGATAAGTTTCATTCGGGCACAAGTTCAACAATATACATCAGATAAGATGTCTTTAAAAGAAACCCACATACAACAAAGTTATGTATTACATTGATCAGTTGACAAAAATGTTGTGACCAGGGCCTCTCAGGACCTTAACTCTGTACTTACCTTAGGCGCAGTGGGTCAGTGATCATTAATTCAGTGTTTGCTGTGAATTTCTAGAATGCTAGGTTTTTCAACCATTTTCATCTCATGGCACACATAAACTAGTTAACTAAAATTCTGTGACACACCAAAAAATATATATTTTTTGCCCATCTGACAAAAGAAAATAGGTATAATTTTGATTATTCACACCAGATGGCCATTGTTGTGTTGGCTGTTGTCATTTACTTACTTGACAATCTAAGGAATAGAGGTCAGTGCCCCTAACTAAATAGTCAGTATCGTGTGTTTTAAAAATTCTTGCAGAACACCAGTTGAATATCACTGTTCTAGAACATAACTATTGTGACTCGTGAGAATTGACTATATGTGTAGAAAAACAGATGAATGAAAAACATAGTGTGTTTGGGGAATTTTCATATGATATTATAGGTAGTTTAGTGGAAAGAATCCAGAAGTAAGGATATGTCAGCAGGAGTCATCAGGGACCTTGAGTGTGTCATCTTCTCTAGTATGCTCTATATAGTTCTTTCTTTTCTTTTCTTTTCTTTTTTGACACTTGGTCCAGATACCTTATTGTGTGATACAGTAGCCCCACCCCTTATCCAAGGGGGAGTACGTGCCAAGGCCTCCAGTGGATGCCTAAAACCACGGATGATGCCAAAACATCTATATACTATGTCTGTACAAATGTGCCTATGATAAAATTTCATTTATAAATTAGGCATAGAAAGAGATTAACAACAATAACAATAAAATAGAACAATTATAACAATATACTGTAATAAAAGTTATATGACTGTAGTGTCTCTCTCTTCAGTCATTTTTATATTTTTCAGTTCACACCTATTCCTGAATTTGTATAACCATCTCTTACTTGCATGAAATGGCTGGGTGTCGCTCGTTTTGTGGAAACCTTATTGAAGGCTTCACACAGGCTCCGTGCTTTCTGGCGCACCACGTTGCCATCAGTCAGGACATGTTTTCTGTTCACATCTTTCACCCTCAAACTTAATGCCTTGTTCATCCTAACTGAGTACTAACCACGCACTGTGGCTGTAGCTTTTTCAGTTTGAGGTGTGACAAGAAAACAAGCACGAATTTTCTTTTTCTTTCACCATTTCACAGATAGAAGATTCGTTCTTACTATAGCAACCTCAGCATGTGATTTGTTTTCTTTCTTCATTAAGTGGAAAACATTTACCTTTTCACTTAAATTTAGGAAGCACTGTATAGCTTCTCTTCGGTATATCTAAATTGCCAGCATCACTGCACTTGGAGTTTGGGGCCATTATTAAGTACAATAAATGTTGCTTGAACACAAGCACTGTGGTACCATGGCAGTCAGCTGATAACAGGGACAGCTGCTAAGTGACTAGTGGGCGGGCAGCGTGAACATCATGGATTCACCAGACGAAAGGGTGACTCATGTCCTGGCGGGATGGATTGGAATAGCAGGATATTTTATTACGCTACTCAGAAGGATGCTCAATTTAAAACTTATTTGTGGAATTTTTCATTTAATATTTTTGGACCACAGTTGACCACAGGTAACTGAAACCACAGAGGGTGAAATAGTATAATGGAAGACTACTGTATTTGTGTACGCATCTAATTACACTTACAAGGCGGTACTCAGTACTCTGTGCTTTGAGCATGATGATAATGATGGCAATTAAGATGATAACTGCCATTCATTAAATGCCTTCTTTGTGCAGGCCCCTTTTATAGACACTGCATATGAGGTCTCCTGTTTGCATCTTATAGGCCTATGAAACAGGAGATGGCATCTCCATTTTACTGATAAGGAAACTGAGATTCAAAGAGGTGAAGTAGTTTGCCCAAGGTCACACAGCTGTGTAGCAGTGCCAACATTAAAATGTTCGAGTCCCAGGAGCCTGTTTTTTCCCAGTTTTTCTTCCTGCCTTCATCTCTGTTTCCTCTGTGAAATGCAGTAGGTGCTCAGTAGATGAAGTGGAAAGGACGTGATGTCAGGTCTTACTAGAGTACATAGTGAGTGACCATTGATGGTCATCTGTTTCAGTAACTTTTTTGCTTACTATTTAAAGAACATTCAATATTAACCCCAAAGCAAAAAAAAAAAAGCAGCATTTCAGATTTCATAGAATAAAATGGTCTGCAGGAGCTATTTTTAATTTTGCTGATGAAAAGTCATGTGATATGCATAAAAGTCATGACTCATCTTTTGGCTGGAATGTGGGGTTTTTTAAAAATGGATTCTACTTACTTAATTTGACTTTTTAGACTCTTTGGATTATAGTGTGTGACTTTCAGTGACAAGTCCCATAATGCATGAATCCGATCCAACATTCTAGAACGTGTCCATCAGTCCCAGAGGTAATGGGAAAGTGTCCCTGGTCTCTCCAATTCTAGTGGCACATGCGGTTTTGCTATAGTTGTCCATAGATTTTTGGAATTATTCCACTCTTCAGAAAGGAATGCTGAGAGATGGAATCCAGCTATGTAGTTTATGGGGACGTAGCTGAGTCCTAGTGGCCAGTGTGGTCCAAGTCTTGAACTGATGTTTGGTAATTAGAGAGTTGATGGTCAGCTCTCCAGAGCATGCCTTCAGTGAGGCAGCTGACACCCAGACCTAGGGAGTTAGGGGCGTGGAGAGAAGTGGAACGGCACCTCACCTTATCCTGCTGGCATTGGCTTTCAGCTGCTCCTCCAGTTTGGGGGGAAATGATAGCTGCCAGCGAGCCACACTAGTCATCTATGAGGCATCACTATTCTTGAGGAACTTAATCAAATAATTGCACAAATAAATTAACTCATCACTTTGAAAATTGTCATGTAGAAAATGTCTTCTGGGGCCTATTCATGCTGTCGCTCCCTACCTATTACCAAATGCCACACTCACCCTTATAACCCAGAAAGAATACCTGTTTCATTTTTGTATCTAAAACTCTTACTTACCCGTCTAATCTGAGTCCTACTTCAGCAAAGCCTGTGCAGTTCAGCCTGCACTGATATTCTTTCCTCAGAACTTTATTGTTTCTTTAGTGTTACCTCCCAACCTTTAGCCCTCGGCCTCCCACCTCCATCTCCCCCTCTCCCCGCCCCATCCCCCTGCCTCACTCACACTATGTGCACCTGCCACCAGCCTTCTTTGTGTTCTTCAGATACGCCAAGCTCTTCCCTGCTCTGGGGCCTTTAACCCAGCAGTTCCCTCTGCCCTCAAATGTACTTCATTCAGTTCTTTTCTGATTAATACCTTCTTCTCATTTAGATCTGTTTAAATTTCATCTCTTTGTAGAGGCTTTCTCTCACCATCCAACCCAAAGTAGCTACCCAGTCACTCATCAAGTTACCTTATTATAATTTTCTTCTAACATCCCACTGGCTAATACTATATAAAACTGTCTTCTTGCACTAAAATGTAAATTCCACAAGATCACTGACACCTGTGTTCCATCACTGGTATAAAACAGGGCTCAATAAATATTTATTACAGTAATGAGTGAAAACTGTTTTGACACTCTGAACATTTTTCTCCTAAAGGGAAAGAGGAAGAAGAGAACCCAAGTTCCTGGGCTCCTCACCAGACTCTCTTGTTCAGAACACACTGCTGCTTACTCCCAGAGCTCTGCTGAAATTTTTTGCATAAACTTATTATCTGATACTTCTTCTCTCACCTTATACTATGATATAAGCCCCATGAAAGTAAAACCTCAGGGTCTTGTTTGCCAGTATCTCCACAGTGCCTGCAGCAGTACCTGGCACAGAAGATGCCAAACATACCTGGCACAGAAGATGCCAAACATCTATTGAAGGAAAGAATAGGGGATCAGGTCTACCTTATCTTAATGTAACAAGTACCCAGAAACTTTAGTGATTGCCCTCTGAATATAATTGCTATTGGTTAGATCTGTGTCTTCACACTAGCAGTTGGGGCAGGAAAACAGTACAGAACCAGGAATCTGTGAAGAATGTTTTGAGCCACATTGCAAGGCTGTCAGAATATGATCTCTATGGCCTGAAACTGACTCTCACACAGATCCCCCGAGCCCTCATCCAAGGGAGAAGTCCAGCTGTTTAGAATTCTACCCCAAAATAGCAGGAGGAAGACACATTTTATTTTGATTCAATTTCTATTTTAATATATTCAGTGCATCACTCAGTGAGTCAGTGAGTATCGAGCCTCTTCAGGGTACAGAGTAGTGCTTTGATTGAGCTATTGAGTTTGAAATATTAATCCCATTGTTAAAACAAAACTCAATCCCCCAAGTAGTTGAAAATACTGTTCAAATTGTAAGGGTACTGTTCCTGTAGACTGTATTTTGTGATGATGGGCTTTTATGTGCCCACTTGGGCAGGAACAAAAGATCAATAAATAACAGAGGTGTTATTTTTTTTACCAAAATGAAATCCTTCAACAGTCTTTGATCATTAGCTTTCTTTCTGTCCAGTTGTCAAAGGATTGTTTTGTAATCACTGTGGTGATCATCTTTGGGGTGATTTAAGATTTTTTGGATCTTGTAGCTGCCAGGAGTAGGGTAAAGAATACTAATTGCTCTTCCCTAGTTGGCACTAGTGTTTAAATTGGGCAGGGAAAGAAGGGGTATTATTGCCGCCTCCCAGATCTGCAGTCTATTCAAGGTAGGAGCTGAACAGGGTATATTGTCCGGGTCACAGAAACACATAAAATCCAAGGGTGCCTTGACATCAGCATCAAATGGAGCTTGTGAAAGAAACACAGTGCAAATGCTGTTTTCATTGTTTGTTACTCTGTTTTCCCCCTAGATTTCTCTGTTGAATTCTGTAGTAAACCACCTCAAAGCCAATGTTAAGTCAGCAGCAGACTTAATTAGCCTGCCTGCCACTGTAGAAGGACTTCAGAAGGTAAGTGCATGTGTGGACACTGAAATTAACCTACTGCTGTAATTCTGGCTTCTTAGAAGTTTTCTTTGAAAGCCCGGCATTTGAAATCACCTGCTCTGGGAGGGCAGTATTAGAGCATATCACTGTGTTGCAAAGATTTCAGAGCATCTCTGTTTTGGTCCTGTTAGTTGAGCCTTTGCTTTGCAACAAGTGACTCGCTCTGGTTTATGTGGTTTGCACCTTTTTATTTGGCTCTCCAGGTCCCAGGATCCCTCTGCTGGGTCTCTTGTTAATATATATGGGTTGGCTTTTCATCATTTATTTGCCTTTTCAATTCATCATCCACAGTGTCCTCATGAAAGCAGACCAGTTATACATGAGAGTTGCTCTAAATTACTATTAATTTCTAAATTACTATTTATTTTATTTTTTAAAGAGGTAATTTGAAGAAATGCAAAAGTTTTAAATTCAGGATATGATAAGGGTTGGCAAGGATGTGGAGCAAAGGAAACTTTCAAACACTTCTGCTGGGAATATAAATTCGTAAAAAGCATTTTGGAAAATAATATATATTATTTTATGAAGGTAAAGGTTCACATCCTCTAAGCTGTTCACTCTAGCAGTACACCCTAGACTCTAGGGCCCAGGCAAATGACAGTTTGGAATTTCTGCTTATTTGATCCTGGGATCCAGGCCTAGAGCAGGAGGCAGTGACTAAGCAGATGGGGTGGGTAACACACAGGGATCTTGAGAGCTGCATGGGAGAGTGAGTAGCAAGAAGAAGGAGCCTACTTTGAACATAAGCAACACCAGCCCCTACAGCAGGAAATGGAAGAACAGATTCTGGAGCAAAGAAATCAAATCTAGAGTCCTTAACTTTTGAAAGTTAGTGTGTGATAACTTTGATTTGGTTACATGCCAGGCTCCGTAAATATAAATATAAATTATCTCCACAAAGGAGAACTTCCTAAGAACAGAAACAAAATTTTCTATTTTATAGTCACACCACCTGTGTGCTCAGTCTCCATAGTTTGTTATTCGTCCAATATGGGCACCTCCTTATAGTAACTTTATTTTTTAAGGAAGGGGATTATTTCATTTTGTTTTTATTTTTTGTTATTAACAGGCTTAATTCACTTTATTTTTCTTATCTAAAATTACTTGGTGGCCCCAGCCGGAGACTGGGTCTTCTGCAAGCCCTGGTAGGGGTCTTTACAAGATGGTCAGTGAGTTCCTGACAGAGAGACTCAGTGAACGGTCTCTGTCCAGAGGTCAGGGTGAGAGAGCTGCAGGTCTTAGCGACGGCACCTTAGAGAGGTGGCCTTGGGGAAGTTGCCCGGGGTGGCATTGCAGCCCCTGGCTGAGGTGTAGCAGTCGTCGATACCAGCCATCAGCAGCCGCTTCTTGGGCACAGGGGCTGGGAGGGGGGGGTTGTTAAAACCACTTCAATAAGTAGTAGTTGTTTCATGTAAAGAATAGCTGTTCATTATAGGAAAATTAGAAGCTATAGGTAAATAGACTGATAAGCATCCACATTACTACACAGAGATAACTAATAATAATTTTGAGGTGTATCTTCTTCAAGATTGTTTTTCCCTATTATTATAATTTTAAGTAAAAAAATAGGGACAACTTTGATGGGGCCAAATGCTTCTTGCCACTGTTCCAAGTACTCAGTGGGGAAAAGGTGGGCCTCTGTAGGTAGCCTTTAGCACAGAAGCAACTCTGGCAGTCTTGCATCCATTAGTTCAATAAACATGGATGCAAGAATAAAACTGGTTTATTCTTGCATCCATTAGTTCAATAAACATTTGTGGAGCTTCTTCCAGTGTGTGCCAGGCACTTTGCAGATGCTGAGAAAACCAAACAAGAGCTTACTATCTTCTTGCATTGTGATGGGATCATACATCCAGCCAGTGCGGATTCTCTAACAGGAGGTGTCTTTGAATGCCTGTAGCTTCTGTAGCAACAGAGCTGCTTAGATAACATCCCAGCTTGGAAACCTCTATGCAGTGTGTTGCAAATCTGTGCGTTTATAATGTTGGACACTACTTGATTACAAGTGGCTCAGTTTTGAATGGTAGTTCATCTCAAACACCTAATCTTAGTACAGTCATATAATTTTTTTAAATGTTGAAAATATCATCTCTTGTTCTCTTGGATTCTTGGCTATCAGTGTAATATAAAAGTCCTTGGTTAAAAATACTAACGTGACATCACAAAATTTTCAATCTATCTTAATAAAAGGCCAACACCCTCTAAAGAGTAACATTCTTTTGGTGTTCCCTTAGGACAGGCCTTTTTTAAAAGATGGCTTCTGAGTCATGTTCCCAAGTTCCCAGCCTACTTGGGCTCCTTAGGTGGGCCTAATGAAAGCAAAGTAAGCTAATATCTAATGCTCCTCAGTAATTGTTGATGGGACACTGAAGGAGAAAAAAGAACAACTGCTGCCAGATGGAATTTTTTTCTTCGTCTCTGCAATGCTGGTTTCCCCTAAGCCAAAAGCGGTTCCATCCATTTTCACTCAAACCTCACTCATCGTTCACTCCAAACCTCATGGCAGTCTACAGTGTCAGCTCTGGCTATCTGCCCACTTACAGTAGGACTTGGTAGAGACAGTTTGTGGGAGAACCTTTAAATGGCCTTTAAAGGACTTTAAAGTCCTTTAAATTGGGGAAATTGCTGATACATCTTGTATTCCTATTAATTGTGTCAGTGTAAGCTACTGACATGTAGTGTCTTGATTGTTGTAATTGTTTCCCAGGTGTATATATGTCAAAACTTATAAAGGTATACATTTTGAACATGTGCATTTTGTTGTGTATCGGTTATATCTTAATAAAGCTATTAAAGTTTTTTAAAAAGGAAAACACACTAACCTTACTACATGTTTCTGTTCAGACCATAGCTTCCATTGGCAATACTTTAAACAGTGTCCATCTTGCCCTGGAGGCAATGCAGAAAACTGTGGACGAACACAAGAAAGCCATGGAATTACTACAGAGTAATATGGTAAGGAGATCTACAAATGCTGCAGAAAGTCGTCATACTCCTGCCTACCCTTTTCTCTGTAATACTGGTGATATCCACTTTCATTCATTTAAGCATACCCTACTATGCACCTTTTTAAAAGATAAAATCAGCAATGTTTTTGTTTGTTTGTTTTTTAAGATTTTGTTTATTTTTAGAGAGAAGGGAAGGGAGGGAGAAAGAGAGAAACATCACTGCATGGTTGCCTCTCATGCACCCTCTACTGGGGACCTGGCCTGCAACCCAGGCATGTGCTCTGGGAATTGAACCAGCAGCCCTTTGGTTTGCAGGCATGCACTCAATCCACTGAACCTCACCAGCCATGGCCCAACAATGGTTATTGTTACTTTTAGAATCTGTAAAGTATGCAGTTAAGGTGGATAGAATTAAGAGCTGAGTCTTTTGCAAATGACCCAGAGGAGATACAGAAATAAGTTATCTAAGGATAGAATGGGTAGGAAGAAAAATGGAAAGGAAAGTGGGGAATTGTCTCAGTTGTTTATTGCTATATAACAAATTACCCCACAACTTAGTAGTTTAAAACAGTTCATTTCTCACTACTCTGTGGGTCCAGAATTTGGCAGGGCTTTTAGCCTCAGGAATGATGAGAGGCAAAGTAAAGGGGGCTCTAGAGGAAGAAAGATCATCTTGGTCAAGCTTCCAGTTGAATACGGCCATTTGTGTGCCCTCAGCCTACACCATGTGAAACAGAACACCCCCAACCCCACTGAGCCTCATCAAGCCACTGAATCCTGAGAAATAATAAATCATTGTTGTTTTAAGTCACAAAGTTTGAGATAATTTTTTATGCAGTAACAGATAACTGAGACAAACAAATCCCTGCCGTGCTCAGGGTTTGTTTTCAAATGTCTCTCAGTGCTGTACTGAGTAAGCTGTCTGCAGTCATTCAGAGCCCTGAATTCATCTCCTCGGGTACTCGGCTCCATTCAGGATTGATGGAGGGTGAAAAGGATAGCACAGCCTCTGCTGTTGTGCTGGGGAGATGAGTTATATGTACTTGAAATTGGGACTATTCAAGATGTACAAAAGTTCCCTAGCTTGTCCACTCATTCATAGATCTGCCCCCATGTTGATTCATCAGTGCATGCCCCTGTGAGAAGCTGGACTGTTCTGGGACCATCCCAGATGGTTAAGTGGACTTAGTAATTACTTATTGCCTATACTAACCTCCATTCCTATTAACAGAATCAGCGCTCCTTGGAGACCAGGGGAAGCAACCAGATTATTCCATCACCTTCAGCTCCATCAGAACTTGACAATAAAACCCACAGTGAGAATTTGAAACAGGTATTTTTTGTCTCTGGCTTACCTCCCTGTGGCCACAATGGACTGGAGGCAGCCTGAAGTTTGTGCTTTGTGTCCTGTGCCTCATCGGGCACCTTGTGCACATATTCACCTGCCCGAGAGCTGAGCAGAGTGAGATGTGTGATGCTGTCTTAGGGGTCCAAGATGCTCTCCTGTCTCTTGTTTGGCAATCTGCTCTTTTCCCTGCATGTTGCTCAGTAGAGTAAATTCCTTTTCACATCTTGAAAGACAGAATGACCAGAGTATCTCGAAATTCTTGATGAAAAATAGCAATCTGGGCAAGTCAAAGATGGATGGACAGCAGATTAATTCAAAGCGATGGCTGTTTTGAGCCACAATAAATTCTAAGCATATCCTAGAAAATCAAGATTCTCTGAAGACTAAAGACAGGTAATAGGAGATTGAGTTCAAAATCACATTGAGGAGAATAAAGGAATCTTCATGAAGAAGAATTCCTGTCCTGAGTTTAATGCCCTTTAAAACCTATAGTCATCATTTCTATTTAAGTAGTCATCAGTAAGTAAAAGATGCCAATAAAAATAATTGAATCCTGTACTAAATAATGCATTACTTGTTATGGTTTTGCTACATGAGCCAATTCAGTAATTGGCATTGTTCCTAAGGTGGTTTTGTTCTGACAAATTAGGTTAATGGACATTTCAGTTAATAACCCAGCAAGCTTTCTTAGCCAGCAGGTGAAGTAAACATTGGGAAATCAATTCCCAAGCTCTCAGCTTCCTGGGACCAGACAGTGAATCATGTAGGTAGTCCTCTTCCCTCATCACCTCCCCCTCCCCCTGCCCCATCTAGCTGAGGACAAACAATTCCAGAGGGAGTAAACTGGGAGCGATGTGAAGTAGAGGGTCAAAGCAGAGACAGAGGATCAATGGTCTAAACCAGGAAAAGGAGTTTATTTCAGTAACTTGACATATTAATGGTTGTTCAGTGCTGCTGGTCTGCTTGTCTAGCATACATCTTTAGCTGGATTGTACAATTTGATTTATTTCCACTCTAGGATATCCTGTACCTTCACAACTCTTTAGAGGAGGTAAACAGTGCCCTAGTGGGGTACCAGAGACAGAATGATCTTAAACTCGAGGGGATGAATGAGACAGTCAGTAATCTTACCCAGAGAGTCAACTTGGTAGAAAGAGATCTGGTTGCTATGAGCAAGGTAGAAAAGCAAGCAAACCTGTCCGTCAGCATGGTAAGCCTTTTCAGATCTTTTCTGACGTGTTCCGTGTTTCACAATGTCTTTTGTCTGTGCATGGATGGCATTCCACCACCTTTTCAAACAGTCTTCTGGCATATTTGAGAGGCTACCCATTGTATTGTACTTAGTCTTTGTCTCCACTAACCCTTACACTAGCTCTTTGATATGAATGGCGCAGGTAGTGTTTGTCCTGCTTTAAAAGGGAGATGGAGGAGAGGTACAGTTGCTTGCCCAGGCCTCACCACAAGTCATTGGCAGACATGGCAAGCCTGCTATTATGTTACCAGTGACCCATCTGGTAGGGAAGCTCTGGCACATATTTCCAAGTGAGGTCTTGTTAATCTTTTCTGAGTTATTCAGGATGGGAAAAATGACAGCGACAATAAAGAATCTTTTGCCATTTTATTAAGCTAGAACTTGGCTTTCAGATTTGTCCTGCTTTGTCTATATATTAAGGGGACACTTTTGCATATAAAGTCAGGAAAACCATTTAAAACAGGTCAGATCTGACCAGCTCCTCAACTTAAGAGATCATTGAATCCAGCCTCTCATTTTATATCTGAGGAAACTGAATGACTCTAAGTCACTAATGCTGGCAGATTGTGTGCTTTACTGGTTTTCATATTATTTTATGTTTCTTTAATCACCTTTCTCATATACATTGTGCTAGGATCCATGTGGATTTTTCTAAATTAATTATTAGAGAGAGAGGAAGGGAGGGAGTAAGAGAGGCAGAGAAACAACAATGTGAGAAAAAAACATCGATCAGTTACCTTTCCTAAACGCCCCAACCAGGGACTAAATCCACAACCGAGGCGTGGGGGGTTTGCTTTGTGGGACGACACCCACCCAAGCGAGCCACACTGGTCAGGGCTGGATTGTTTTTAATAGTCGCAAACCTCACTCTTAAACATTTCAAACAGCGCCCTGGCTGGTGCCCAGTGGATTGAGTACTGGCCTGAAAATCAAAAGGTCACTAGTTCAATTGCCAGTCGGGGCACATGCCTGGGTTGCAGGCCAGGTCCCCAGTTGGGGACGTGTGAGAGGCAACTGATCATTGTTACCTCTCCGTATTTTCCCCCTCCCTTTGTCACTCCTCCTCTCTCTAAAAGTAAATCTTTTTTAAAAAAAGATTTCATACAGCAAAGACAGGCATATATTAAGAAATGGAAACAAAATACAGGAAATTATACTGTAAATTCAAGTAACCACCAAAGCTGGAAGCAAGCCCACAAGTAAAGTCGAACTCTGGCACATAGAAAGTAGTGTTGGAACTGGCTCTGCCACAGCAGAGCCTTGGCAAGTTGCCTTGACTTGGCTTTGAGGATGGAATAAGACCTGTTCCCTTTTCTGCTTTACTGGGGTGTGTAATTGACTAGAAAGCTGAAAAGATTAAAGGAGCTTACTTTAAAAACCCTGTTTGAACTCTGCTAAACTAAGTAGGGGCCCGGAATTTTGAATGATTTGATGAGTATTAGAGCTCAAAGGTTTTTGAGGCTTATTGTAAAAATCTACCGTTCTGAACTTCCCTTACTGTTCTTCTCCTCCCCACTTTATTTTTCTCCAGAAGAGGAAATTGTTCATAGTATCATCTGTCTTACTATTTCTTCCAATAGTATCATACCCAGCATGATTCTAAGTTAAAGTTTTCTCTCTTTTTATACTTCAAAATTTTAAAGTTTGTGAATGAAATAACTAGACGAAGCACCATTTTCACCTTTCTCTTTTTTCTGTCTGATTTATTTCACTTAGCATAATACCCTTTAGGTCAGCAGTTCTCAACCTTTTTCATCTTATGGCACACATAAACTAATTACTAAAATTTAGCAGCACACAAAAAATATTTTTTGCCAATCTGACAAAAAATAGATATAATTTTTATTGATTTACAAAAGAATAATAATAATAATCTGCCTTTTTGCTCCAAAGTGACATTTAAAAAAATCTAATGCCTATACTTTTTTCATCTTTATTGTCTTTTTCCCTTACCATTTAGTCCCCATATACCCCCGCCCCCAGCAATCACTGCACTGTTGTCCATGTCCATGAATGCTTTTTCCTTTGTGCCTTTCCTTAGTGGCTTTTCTCCCTCTCCTCTCTCATTCTCCTTCTGGTATTTCTGTTGAAAGTGTCCTGAGATCTTTTAAATAAGTTTGACCGAATGGCTTAAAAAGTGCTAGATGTTGTTTAAGTTTTAATGTTTGCCTTTAATCTTCTGTGCTTTTTTACCCTTTAAGATACGGGATAAAGCTGCCACTCTGAAAAGAGAGTCTTTGTACCAGGTGACCAGCAGAACAGATACAGTAAAAACCCAAAGTATAAAGGTAAATAATGGGAAGCTTACTGTGAAGTAAAAATAAATGCTTCAGCATCCTTGTGCTTTTTGAACTACTGCTTCTTTCTCAAAAGGAGCATTGTGGTCTCATTTGCTAAAACTTCAAGACAAAGTAATTAGTAAATTAGTATATTGAATAAGTGAATACTTGATCAAGTACCTACCTGGTGCCCACACACTTTGCTAGGAGCTGGTGTGACCACAGTGAGCACGGTAGACACGCAAACCCTATTCTGCTGGAGCTTTCAAAGTCCATCAGTGAGAAAATCATTAACACATGATTGAACACATAATTAATCATGAGCATGATAAACACTAGAGAGGAAGAGTATAGAGTATGATGAGGGCATTAGCAGAGATCAGAAAGGCTTCCCTAAGGCAACGACTTTTAAACTAAGATAGGAAGTTATGTGTACTAATGATGGGGAACAGTGGCTTAGATAATCTAAAAATGGTGTCTAATCTAAAAATTATTTTTTATTATTTTTAAATTTTAGTTTCAGAACTTACATAGTCCATTTAAGCCTCAGCCTATTCCCTCCACCTAGTACCTTTCCCTTTTGTTGTTCATCCCAGACATATTATCAACATAAGCAATTTGTGATATATACTCTGATATCCCAGGAGAGAAAGTTTGTTTGCAGCATTCTCTGCCATACTATAAGACCTGGACTAAGATAAAGGAAAATCCAGGAAGATGGTGACTGAGTGGCTAAAGTACATATTACATTTGGCAAATTCAGAGGATATGAGGTTCAGAGAAAATGAACTTAGAAATGAACCATAGTACAACCAGTTTTCATTATAATGCTTTCCATCTATATTTTTCTTTCTCAACGGTTTTGTAAAATCACATATATTAAAATGTTAATGCTTTATATGCTAGGCTTTTGTTGTATTTCCTAACTGCTGCAAAGAAAATTTTTTTAGAAAAACCTCAGAATGACAAGAAAAGTTTAAGAGCCAGATATAAGTGTTGAACACAAAAAAGTACCTACTATCGGAAAGTAGTAGTGATTTCAGTAACAGCTCATTTTTTTTACAGTAAATATCAGATTAAAATACAGCTAGTACATGTTTTTGCCTAAATTTCTTGGCTTTACTTCCAGATACTTTGTGTTTTTCAGTTGTCATCTCAGTGTATTAGTACCTTTGTGCTGCCTAACCTAAGCATCCTTTACCAGATCTAATTTCTCCTTAGCATAAATTCTTCAAGCATTTAGGACCTAGTTTTATTTACATATGTCTATATATTAGGTCCCTGAGTAAACCAAGAGTGATCTACTGTACAGTAACTATTAGGGTAGAAATAAAGACAGAAGAGAAATAAGTATGTATTGAATAAAAGAAACATGTAATGAGTTGATATTCTAATTAAGTAAAGGATTAAGACCTTTCACCTTAGTCTAAGCAGTTAGAAACTGGCCTTATAGAAACCAGACTTCTCTCTTTTTATAATTAAATGTATTTTTATGTGTCACTCTGGATCAGTCTGGGGGTGAGGCAGATTATCAAGTATAAATCTTTTTTTAAAGGTATTAATAAGACTTTGAAGTATTACAGCTTCTTCACGTTCCTAGCAGTTCCTGCCACCAGTTGAATCATTACCACGTGGGGAGAGAAGGAAGATCAGGGGAATAATGGTGGTTTGGTTGTTTCATCTTGTTTGTTAACGTGATAAGAGTATAAAACTCTACCTAAAGTGGTCTGGTCACAAGGTGAAGTAAAATATTCAGGAAAATTATTTCATTAGTGTGCAATTGTTCCTAGAAACCAATATCCTACTCATTTAGGAAATAGGTGCCACAGAGGCACCTGGGCAAGGGTACATTTCCTTTACTGCTGACACAGCCATGCCAGACCCCATCAGCCAAATGTTCACAAGTGAATCAGATCATCTGCAGCATAATGTTTCCTTAATGGTCTAGGCTCAAATCCAGCTAGGCCCTCATCAGCACTGAGTACGAAGATATCTCTATTATCTGTTGATTCATTCCTTCATTGCCTGTACTTATACAGAACGTATTGGAGGTCAAGCACTACATGCTAAATAGTAGGCTCTGGGAATATAATAAAGAATCAGATGAAGACTTACTTCCACCTTAAACCTCTGTGATCTTTGTTTTGGGCAGAAAGAAGATAGTTCAGATTCTCAGGTATCCAAGCTAAGAGAAAAACTACAGCTGATCAGTGCTCTCACCAACAAACCTGAAAGCAACAGGCCTCCAGAGACCACCCATGAAGGTGAGATATTCAGGGCTGGCTTCTGAATATTTCACGCAGGCTTGAGCAGCTTGCCTCCCACATGGAGTGGAAAGGTGTTCCAGCAGGACTGATCGAACTGAGTGAATGATGCCTCAGCGCACCGAGATGAAGCTGATACACTTTGCTTTCATTTAGAAAAAGCCCATTTGGTACATGATTTGTACTTCAGTCTATTAAGGGAAGAAGGGGTAATGTTTAGCTGGAAATAGACTTCTCCATGCTGTCTGCATCCAATTATAGGCAGAAAAACATCACTGTCGTAGCCTGTAGTAAACCAACTAAATGTTTACAGAAGTCTTTTCATTTCTTTAAGTGCATAAAATTTACTTAAAAATAAATATTAGTCCTTCTGAAAAACCGTTAACAAATAATGCTTGGATCACTGGGTTGGAAAGGCCCTTGGCTTTGTAAGGACATACCTAGTTAATATTGACCAATATATTAACTTCCACTGGTTTAACCTCTAGGAGGATATAACCAAGGCATTGGACTGTGTTGGCTTTGACCCACCCCCCCCCCCAGAAGTATTTTTTGCTTTTGAGAAACCAGTACAACCTCTTACTTTCTTTTGGCTGGAAGACAGACTGCAGTGGGAGGCCTTGTCCTGACTCTGTGCTACACAGTTGTGTGGCAGTGCTCTTTCTACACCAGCTGGCGGGCGGCACCTAATAGCATTAGCATCCAATGCTATTCTCACTTGCAGCTTAAACTCTTAACATTTAAACATGCATAATGCTTACTGGTACTAGAAGATCTTCCAGTGAGACCACAGCTTCAAACCTTAATATCAGAAAAAGAGAGCGAGAAACCAACCAACCAACCTTAATGTGATATAATACTGATTTATCTTCACTTATTCATAGAACATACTAATCCATGCCTTTAACTTCATTTAGTCACCGTGCTCCTTCATTCTCATTTCTTTTTTATTTTTCAACTACAGTTGACATTCAGTGTTATTTTATATTTGTTTCAGGTGTACAGCATAGTGGTTAGTCAGCCATATAATTTACAAAGTGATCCTCCCCAATATTTCCAGTACCTACCTGGCACCATACGTAGTTATTACAATATTACCGACTACATTCCCTATGCTGTATTTCACATCCCTGGGACTGTTGTGTAGCTACCAATGTGTGCTCCTCAGTCCCTTCACCTTTTTCACACAGCTCCGCTCTGGCAGCCGTCATTTTGTTCTCTGTATCTATGACTCTGTTTCTGTTTTGTTTGTTCATTTATTTTGTTCATTAGATTCCACACATAAGTGAAATAATATATGTGTCTTTTTTTCTGTCTGATTTATTTCACTTAGCATAATACCCTTTAGGGCAGCAGTTTTCAACCTTTTTCATCTTATGGCACACATAAACTAATTACTAAAATTTGGCAGCATGCAAAAAATATTTTTTGCCAATCTGACAAAAAAAGGTATAATTTTGATTGATTTACAAAAGAATAATAATAATGATCTTCCCTTTTTGCTCCAAAGTGACATTTAAAAAAATCTAATGCCTATACTTTTTTAATCTTTATCGTATTTTTCCCTTACCACTTAATCCCCATGTACTCCCCTCCCCCAGCAATCACCGCACTGTTGTCCATGTCCATGAATGCTTTTTCCTTTGTGCACAATCCCTCTGTCTCCTAACCTCCCCTATACTTGTATATAAGGATTTCTAGTACCAAGAATTAACCAATCAAACGCAACCTTGTTATATCACATGACCACTAAAATGCAACTTTGTTAGATGACCCATATATTTATGGTTCAAGATAGGACATGCATAATGGACAGCTATTGTCTTGGCTGTTGTTATTTTTTTTGCTTGACAGTCTAAGCAAAAAGAGGTCAGTGCCCCCAACTAAGTAGTCAGGTATTGCATGTTTTAAAAATTCTTTGACACACTAGAAAATTGCTGCTCTAGGTCCATTCATACTGTCTCAAATGGTAACGTTTCATTCTTTTTTATAGCACAGTAGTATTCCAGTATATATATACCACAACTTTTTTATTCACTTGTCTATTGATGGACACTTGGGTTGCTTTCATATATTGGCTGTCATAAATAACACTGCAGTGAGTATAGGGGTGTATATATCTTTTAGAATTAATGTTTTGGGTTTCTTTTGAATCTATACCCAGAAGTGGAATTGCTGGGTCATAGGCAGTTTTAATTTTTTGAGGAACATCCATACTGCTTTCCACAGTGGCTGCACCAATTTGTATTCCCACCAACAGCGCACAGGGGTTTCCTTTTCTCCACATCCTCGCCACACTTGTTGTTTTGTTGATTTATTGATGATGGCCATTCTGACAAGTATGAAGTGGTATCTCTTTGTGGTTTTAATTTGCATTTATCTGATGATAATTGACATTGAACATCTTTTCACATGTCTATTGGCCATCTGTATGTCCTCTTTGGAGAGGTGTCTATTCAGGTCCTCTGCCCATTTTTTTAATTGGCTAGTTACTGGGAGAGGGGAGTTTTTTGTTTGTTTGGTGTTAAGTTGTATAGATTCTTTGGATATTAACTCCTTATCAGTTGTATCATTGGCAAACATCTTCATTCAGTAGGTTATCTTTTCATTTTGCTGATGGTCTCCTTTGTCAGTGATTTCTCAAATTAAGTATATACACAGTTGTTCTAAAACATGACCTTCAATACTGGTTTAATTTAGTGTCAGATTTGATAATACTAAAACCATGTGTTTGTAACAGAGCAAGCACAGAGTGTCACATCAAAGCCTTCAGCATTGCCAGAACTTCCACAGTCTCTTGGAGACCACACCGAGAATGCTGCCCAGCTAAGACCTGTCTCCCTACCAGGAATTTCTAGTATCAAAGGTAAATTTTTATACTATGGAGTAATAAAGGAAATGTTCAACCTTACAACTTTTCAATTTATTTCAATTGTAAGAAAAAGAATTATATCTAACATTGAGTAACTTTCATGGACCAAGATTTGATACGCATTATATTGTATAATCCTTATTAATCCTGGGAACATAAATATTTGGGTATGATACCCATTTTACTGATAGGGAAACTACCCAAGTCCACACAGCAAATAATTAGTTGAGGCAAAATTCATACCAAGGGAGCCTGACACCAGAGTTTGTGCTCTTAACCTGTACCGTAGTACCTCTCTACCAAGTGCACAGCACATGTTATAAACATGTGCTTTCTGCACATGCACAATAAAACACCTGGTGGCTGGCGTTGAGAACAAGCACCCCACCTGCTTTTCTGGCTTTCAAGGAGCCTTTTAGACTTATTTAGCTGTTTTGCCAGACTATCTTAAGAGTGACGGTAAGGCCTTATTCAGAAGCTTGTCTACAAAATTCCGTGGTGAACTAGACCTTGCGCTGCAACTGTTCCCACAACCCACTCCCCCACCCCCACCCCAACTTCAGACCATTCCCATTCTCCCTAAGTACCAAACAGCAGAAGGCCTATTGAATCTAAGTGTGAAGTTGAATAAATGAAGAAAGGAAAGGAATTTAGGAAGATTTTTAAAGAAACATAAGCCTCATTGACTGTCTTCTGGTATTAGAGACCAAAGCTGCTAAGTCATTCACTAGGGACACAATCAAGTCCTTCGTAAATGTTATGTAAATAATCAGCCCTCCTGAGTGTTCATTATGGGGTCATTGAAAGAATACCGGAAGAAACGTTTGACAGAAATTCTGCAAGCTTACTGGCTCAAGTAACACCTTAAAAATAAAAAAGAAGATACAGATCAACTGGTAGTATTGCTTTATCTCTCTTACGTGGAATAGAGAAAGAGAGAGAAAGAGCACAAGTGAGCACAAGCGCCAACACTAGATACAGTATATACAGTAGACAGAGCTTTGAAGGGATGTAAAAGTAGGGTTTTAGTTGTGAGTATGCAAAACGCAGTTTGTTCTTGTATTATTATTTATACTAATTCTAGAACATTTTATCTGAGAAAGAAGCCCTGAACCCATTAGTCATTCCCTATTCCCCTTCCCCCAGCCCTTGGCAACCTCTCATCTCTCAACCACTGTTTCTTTGGGATTGCCTATTATGTGTGTTTCATATAAATGGAATCATACAACATATGACCTTATATATCCTTCTTTCAGTATGTCCTTTCATTAGCGTAACGTCAAAGTCCATACATGTAATAGAATGTAACAGTATTTTATTCTTTTTTTATGGCTGAATAACATTTCATTGCATGGATACATTTTGTGTATCCATTCATCAATTGATGGACAGGGTTGTCTACTTTTTGGCTATTATAAATAGTACAGCTATAGACATTTGCATGAGGTTTTTGTGTAGACATATTTTCATTTCTCCTGAGTATAGAAATGTAATTGCTGGGTCCTATGATAGATAACTCTGTTTAACAGATAGTATGCCGCTCTGTTTTACAAGCTCAACTCCTATCAGTTAGCTTTTTAAGCCTCTGCAGTCCTTTTCACCCCTTCAACATGAAAATAAAATCTGAAAAAATCTAAAAGGAAGCCCTGGACAGAGAGAAAGCCAGTCCACTTACCCTCCTGTAATTACCTATCACTGCTTCTATTTTGGGAGTAGAGTGCCATACAGTATTACTCTCATTCTTAAAGGACAAGAATTAATCTTTTTGATTTAGTGATATCCTAAACTTTACCTTTTAGAATCGGAGTATAGAAAATAGCTTTCTTTTTACTGCTTTAAATTCGGTTGAGGCTACTTTTTAAGCTGTTAACTAAAATTAGCTGTATGTATAGACATAAACACTTTTTGCAATTTTTTAAAACAGATCTTCAGGATTTTTTCCACAAGACTGGCCAGAACATGGATGGGAAGCTGACCTACCAGGAAATTTGGAACTGCTTAGGTTCTGCTATGCCAGCACCAGAGAGTTTGAGAGAGTTTGATGCTGATGGAGACGGAAGATACTCGTTCCTAGAGCTAAGAGCAGCTTTAGGTGTCTAGCCTCACTGGGCATATTTAGAAATGGATATATACCCTGGGCTACCCAATATCTACTCACAACCCTTCTATTTACCTGTCAGTTCTCCAGTTCTCCAAACTACTGTAGGAGACACATTGCCACCTTTTAACTTGTTGGGAAAAGCTATATAAATGTTATTTTTTTAAAGATAATTTTACTTATGATATTAGAAATCTATGATTTCCTGAAACCAGTAAGATCTTAATTCTAAAATTGCCAGAATAAAAGTCAAGCCCTCTTTCTTTCTCTTTCCTTTTTTTGTAAGGGAAGGAGACCCTATCTTTTAGAACTGGAAAATGTGTATATAGTGAGAAGAATCCACCTTTTATATTTCACATAAATTTGCCTTAAATTAGCTGCACTTTATACACGACAGGCTCAGAAAATGTCTTTTCGTTATAAGACTTTTTCTGTTTGTAAATATTTAAAATGAAAGAAAGGATTCTGCATATTTTATGAGAAGTAGGAGGAATGGTTTGAAACAAGATGTGAACAAAATGACTTGTTAGTAAAAATTGCTAATCTGATCTGGTAGCGGCTAAAACTAGGTCCATGTCTCCCTCCTCCAAGCATCTCATTTAGGTGCTGCCATGGGGTTTAGTCCAGTGGCTGGAGGAGTATATTTAGCGAATGGATACTGTGGGGACAGACTCCAGGCTCAGGAAGTAAGATCTGGCTTTTTTGTTTCTGTCCCCTTAGTTAATCCCAACCTGTGAACCAGAAAAGTTTTGTTGGGGATATTTCTCATTTTCAATCCTATTTCAGGGTTTATGAGCATAAAAGTTATCCAGTGGCGAGCTACATTTCCTCCCTGAGTGAGCTAGATTATCTTCCCCCACCTCCAAACTCAATCCCTGCCCCCCTCACACACACACACACACACTCAAATCTCAAAGCTATAGCTGACTTCCACCTCTAACACTATATCCATTCTCAGTGGTGGGGCTGCAGTCCTTTGGCCACTGTCTCAGCCTGGCTGCCCAGGAGTTTTGGAGGAGAGGTATGCCTCTAATTCTGACCCAGGAAACTCCTTGAGATTTTACCTGGGGGCTAACCAAGAACCTAATTTGTTCCTATGAGGGCTAAGGCCAAAAAGGTTGTGAACCTATAAGGTTTCTTCATAATTATCAGGTCAGAAGTAGAAGCTTTATGTCCAGAGAATGCCAAAATAGCAAACAGGCCTAGAGCATTGGGCTTCACATGATGGTAGCAAGAGTTTTCATATCTGAATACAAGCAAGTACAATACTTTCTCCTTTAAAGGCTTCTGTAGGCCTGGTACTAAAAGACCCTGGACTGGAAGGAAGTATATCTCCATGTCACCTGTGTGTGTGGTGCATTGTTCTCAGGAGCCTTTGGACAAAACAAGGAAAAAACTTTGCAAAACTTAACTGTGCTATAAGCCAAGTCAGGGAGAAACCAGAGAAGCTTTCATGGCACCAGCTTCTTCAGTGAAGCCGATTTCCATTTTCACTTTGTCCTAGTTGCCCAGTTAGCCATGGATGCAGCCAGGCATCCTTAACTATTTAAGGGCTGTTTTATTTTTTCTTTATATGATATTCAGCTTGGTGTAGGCTAACCTTGACTTTTTTCTAGAAATACTAAAATTTAGTTAAACCAAGATAAATTCCTTTCCCATGAATGTATCTGCTTACCTCATACGCTTGTCCTTCTCTCTTTTAAAAAGTGTGTTTTCCTTACTTATCCAAGCTATTTCACTTTCTTGAAAAGGTCAAAATATAGTATAAAAATAGCCTAGTACACCCTGGCCAGGTAGCTCAGTTGTTTAGAGCATTGTCCCCATATGCCAGAGTTGTGGGTTTGATCCTGGTCTGGGCACATACAAGAATCAACCAATGAATGCATAAATAAGTGGAAAAACAAACAGTGCTCGCTCTCTCTCTCTCTCTCTCTCCCCCCCTACTTCCTCCCTCTCTCTCCTTTATCCCTCCCTCTCTTTCTTCTTCCCCTTTCTCAAATCAATAAGTAAAAAAGTTTTTCAAAAATTTGCCTAGCACTTTAGATAACTCAAAGATTACTCTTCCGGCTGCCTTCCATGCCCCCCCTTTTAATATATATATCCTGATGTATTTTATAACAACCAAATAACATTCTAGCAATAAATTGAATTATACTGCTATATTTGTATATACTGTACCATAAATAGTATGTCTGTACCTGGAAAGTATTTTTTTGTGAACTGATTTATATGAAATATACTTGAGGGTAATGTAGCTTGTCCTTTTTAGTTTCAAATTCTTATTCATAGGCAGATACTTTGAAGACACCTTAACTCTTTGTTGTATGTACTTTTCTTTTGCATCAAGTAGCTGTCCGTGGAGGAGTCAGCTGTGGGGTTTTTGGTTTATTATCTGTTCTCACCTCAAGCTTGTCTGGCTAGCATCACCCCTGAGCCAGGAATCCCCCTACCCAATTTGGCAGAGGTGTTCCTGCTACACTTTCAGACTTGTGAATACTCTTGTCACACTGCCTGGGCGAGTGCCCTATCTCCCAGGCAGACCTAGGGCATCTTGAACCCCTTTGTTCAAAGATGAGCAGATTCATTGGCTTAGGAAGAGCCTCAGAAACCTATTATTCAGTGTTAATTTGGGATTTTTTATAAATTGTCCTAACTTACCCAACCTGTGACTTGTGTTTAGCTGTGATCAAGCCTCACCTGCCAGAACTCAGCTCTGAGAGGAAGGTTGAGCAGTAGTGGTGAATTTGGCATTGCTTTTGGTTTCTAGTACTATGACCTTTTCACACTGGCAGCTCCCACTGCTGCTTTCCTCATGTACCCAAAGCACTGCTTCTTGGTCCTTTTTTTCTTTTGTCTTGTACTCTCTGGTATAATGTTTACTTAAAGGGCCTCTTTATAAATCAGAGAGGCAAATGGTTTTGTAGAAAGAAAACCAAAAGAAGAGAACCCCAGCTTGGGGGTGACTGTAGTGTTGTCTTAAGGGCCCCTAGGAGTGTCTGAAGCAGCAAAGCTAAAGAAAGGACACTCTTCACCTCCTAGCTGCTTTCCCTCCTGTTTCAGCTCCTTACTTCATGTTGCTGGACAGAGCATTCTCAGCACCCCCGGTGGTCTTACGGTCACAGCTGAAGATTTTGACTGTGATGGGCTCCTACTCGTAATGGCCAGCCGTTGAGTTATTTCTAGTGACAGCTTTTGTTTGCTGCACACCTCATTGGCTTGCTTACCAACAACACCAGCTAGATGCAGTCTCTTCTCTCATCTCCAAACCAGAACACATTTGGGTATTCCTGAGACTTTATAGAGCGTGAATTGTTTGCTATATGAACCTAACCTACCTTGTTGTTTTCTCACATTAACAAATGTTGATCTACTTGACATTAGTAGAGCTATTTTGATAATGTATAATGTAGTTTTGGTTCTGTTGGGGGAGTGAATTCAAGATTTCCATGACTTGATTTGAACTTTGCTTATTCCATATTAGTAATACAGCCATTTTAATTTATCTAAATAAAAGATTTTCTTTCTCTCCTACTGTGTCTATGACTAAAGGGCCCCTCGCCCCTGATTACTAAGGAAAATATAAATAAATACATATAGATAAAATATATAAAATCTGGAAAAAGTCCAGCCATTGTTAATATAACAAGAACAGTTTGTGCAACATCCATGTAACCTGGCAGCCAAGGAAAGTGGACTGTAATGTTCATGTGTGAACAATGACGACTTCACTGTATTAGTCAGTGGGGGGTGGTAGCAGCTGTTTAGTGAGCATGTGTACTGTGATCCCCATTTTTATTGGTTCCTTCCTCCTCTTGAAAACGAAAGCAAACATTGTGGTTACAATGTGAAGTTGAAGAATCTACCTGACAAACACAGAATTTGGCCTGAAGGAATGAAGGCTGCTTCTCTGGCATCTGTAGGTTGGGGTCTGGCAGGGAGAAAGATAAGTGTGCCCCTGCATCTGTGTCAACCAGAGAAGTTTTACTTAGGGCTGTTTCATATGTTGAAATTCAGTGTAAGCATGTTTATGCAAAATATTCCACTGTCTTTAAAAAGAAAAGCCTTAAAATTCATTGCAAGAGACTTCCGGCCAAGATGGGGGCATAGGTGGAAACATTGTGCCTCCTTGCACAACCAAGTTTAAAGACAAAGTTTCAGTAACAAAACTCAGCCAAAACACAGAAAACTGAACTGCACATAAGTCCGACGACAATGAACCATTCAGCCAGACTGGTAAGAGAGGCAGAGTCAGCGGCAGAGCAGGGTAGGGCAGGAGAGCGCACAGGGGGTGGCTGGCAGATCCCAGGTGTGGGGTGGAAATCGGTGGACCCAGTGAGGGTGCAAGGTGGCTGGCTGACCGCAGTCACACATTTGTACACAGATAAAGCGAAGGAGTGAGCAGTGAGACAGAACTCTCAGGCTAGGGCCCCAGCAATGGGAATTAGAGCCTAAAGCACCAATTGGAAAAACTTTTGGGGTTGAGGTGCTGGGAGAAGCTCCCGGGCTCACAGAGAGTTCACTGGAGAGACCCGCAAGGTCCTGGAGGGTGCACAAGCCCACACACCCAGGAACCAGCACCAGAAGGGCCCAATTTGATTGTGGGAAACAGAACAGGGGACAGAAATCTGAGAGAGAGTAGAACAAAAGCCATTGCCCCTCCCTGACCCCACTGCCACATACAGTGTCACAACCCAGCAACCTGGGTTGTTCCACCCTGGTGGAAACCTAAGGCTCCACCCCTCATACATAACAGGTGTGAACAGACCAAAACATTATGGCTCAAGAACAGCTCAAAGGCCCAGAGCTAATAAATCTAAGTGACCAAGAGATAGTTAACCTTTCAGATGCACAGTTCAAAACACTGGTGATCAGGATGCTCACAAAACTGGTTAATTTTAGTTACAAATTAGAGGAACATATGAAGACTAAACTAATTGAAATGAAGGGAAATGCACAGGAAAACAATAGTGATGGAAAGCAAACTGGGACTCAAATCAAGGGAGTGGACCAGAAGGAAGAAAAAATATGATTAAACAGAAAAGAATACAGAAACAAGAATTCAAAAAAATGAGGAGAGGCTTAGGAACCTCCAGGACATCTTTAAATGCTCCAACATCCAAATCATTGGGGTACCAGAAAGGGAAGAGGAAGAGCAACAAGTGGAAAACTTATTTGGACAAATAATAAAGGAGAATTTTCCCTATCTGGCAAAGGATATAGACTTGAAGGAAATCCAGGAAGCTCAGAGAGTCCCAAAGAAGTTGGACCCAAGAAAGAACACACCAAGGCACATCGTAATTATATTAGCCAAGATTAAAATGAAGGACAGAATCCTAGAAGCAGCAAGAAATAAGGGGACAGTCACCTACAAAGGAGTTCCCATCAGACTGTCAGAGGATTTCTCAAAAGAGACCTTACAGGCAAGAAGGGGCTGGAAAGAAGTATTCCAAGTCATGAAATCTAAAGACCTACATCCAAGATTGCTCTATCCAGCAAAGCTTTCATTTAGAATGGAAGGGCAGATAAAGTACTTCTCAGATAAGGTCAAGTTCAAGGAATTCATCATCACCAAGTCCTTATTATATGAAATGTTAAAGGGATTTATCTAAGAAAAAGAAGATAAAAAAGATCAACAGTGAAGGACAGCAAACTCACAATTATTAACAACCATACCTAAAACAAAAGCAAACTAAGAGGACAGCTAGATCAGGAGCAGAACCATAGAAATGAAGATCTCATGGAGGGTTAGCAACAGGGGAGTCAGAGGAAGAGAGAGGGGAAAAGGTACAGAGAATAGGAAGCATAGATGGTCGGTAGGAAATAAGGGGAGGGCAAGAATAGTATAGGAAATATAGAATCTAAAGAACTTGTGACACATGGACATAAACAAAAGGGGGGAATGGTGGGGGAGGGGTGTGCAGGGTGGAGGGGAATGAAGGGGGACAACAGGACAACTGTAATGGCATAATCAATAAAATATATTTTTTTAATTTTTTTAAAACATTCATTGCAAGAGAGTAGACTTCCAGTCAAGATGACAGCATACATAAACACAACTCACATCCTTGCCCAACCATATCAAAAATACAACAGAACTGTAGAAAACCATCACTCAAAACTTTTAAATATGGAGTTGAATGAAAGTCTGACAACTACAGAATTAAAGAAACCACATCCCTCCAGACTGATGGGCAGGGATGTGGAATGGGCCGGTCCCACATCCACAGGTGGCAGATGAATACTCAGGAGGGATATATTGGGAATGAGAAGTCCCAACCCCACCTCAGTTCCCTCAGCCCAGGGTTCTAGTGCCAGGAGGATAAGTCCCTGTAACTCCTGGCTGCAAAAACCAGTGGGGATTGAGTTGATGGAAGAAACTTCTAGAGTCCCAAGCAGTTTCTATTAACCCATGCACAGACTTACCCAGACTCACTCTGTCTGAGCTCCAGCACACGGTAGCAGCTTGAAAGGCACAAGTGGGATATAGGGCAGAACTGAATTGTCTGGCATCAAGGCAAGAACAGGAGACAGCTTTCTTCTAGACAGAAAGGTGGACAGAGGCCATTGTCTCTTTTCTGAATGCTACTCTCACAGAGCTTGCAAGCTGGTGCCATATCTGAGACTCCATCAACCTGACTAACACTGTTTGCCCCACCCTGGATATCATTTGAGATTGTCCCTCCCAATTTATGGACCCACCCAAGCTGTTGATGGTGACTTTTCCATTTCAATGGCTGATCTTGGCTCATGTTTAGAACTTTCTAAATCTTCTCAAACAAACAACAGCTGGCCTCAGGAGCCCCCAGGCCCCATACCTCTTGCTAAGTGGCCCAAGGTCTGGCAGCAGCAGCAACCAGCCTAGATTCACAGCTTGGTGTTGCCAGGGAATCTCCAAGCCCAGCACAAGTAGTAGCCATCTCAGATTGCTTTTATAGTTCAGGCAGGGTGGCCCCAGGCAAAACACAGGTGAGCACCAACATTGCCCTGTACCTCCTGGGAAATCCCAGTACTGGGCACCCAGTGAACAGCTACAGACCATGTCAGAGCACCACCACCCAGCTCCTGCACAGCTGATCCTCCACAGAGGGCAGAGGTTGGTGGTCAGTGCTCACAGCCAGTCCTTGCAACCAACCAGCCTGGGTAAATCCCTTCTATTCATCTGCCAACAGCAATCAAGTCTCAACTGCAATAGAAGGGTGAACTCAGCCCACACGAAGGGTTCACCTTGAATACCCAGCTTGGGTGATAGGGGAGGCTGTGCCACTGGTCCTTACAGGACACCTACTACATTGGGCCATGCTACCAACACAGGGAGTCCAAGAACTCTACCTAATACATAGAAACAAACATAGGGAGGCTGCCAAAATGAGCAGACAAAGAAACATGGCTTGAATAAAAGAACAGATCAAAACTCCAGAAAAAGAGCTAAACAAGATAGAGATAAGCAATCTATCAGATTCGGAGTTCAAAAGCACTGGTTATAAGAATGCTCAAGGAACTTAGTGAAGACCTCAACAGCATTAAAAAGGTCTGTACAGAAATGAAGGGTACACTAATTGGAATAAAGAATAATTTACAGGAAACAACAGTAGAGTGGATGAAGCCAAGAATCATAAGGAAAATAATGATTTGGAACATAAGGAAGCAAAAAACAACCAGTTATGACAAGAAGAAGAAAAAATAATCCAAAAAAAAGAGGATAGTGCAAGCAGCCTCTGAGACAACTTCAAAAGGTCCAACATTCACATCATAGGGTGCCAGAAAGAGAAGAGAAATTGAAAATTTATTTGAAAAAATAAAACTTCCCTAACTTGGTGAAGGAAATAGACATGTAAGTCCAGGAAGCACAGAGAGTCCCAAACAAGATGAGTGCAAAGAGGCCCACTCCAAGATGCATCGTAAATGAAAATGCCAAAGGTTAAAGATAAAGAGAGAACTTAAAAGCAGCAAGTGAAAAGCAGTTAATCACCTACAGGGGAGTTCCCATAAGACAGTCAGTGGATTTCCGAAAAGAAACTTTGCAAACTAGAAGGGATCAGTAAGACATATTCCAAGTCATGAAAAGCAGGGACCTACATCCAAGATTGCTCTACCCAGCAAAGATATCATTTAGAACTGGAGGACAGATAAAGAGCTTCCCAGACAAGAAAAAACTAAAGGAGTTCATCATCACCAAGTCATTATTATATGAAATGTTAAAGGACTTATTTAGGAGAAAGAAGAGCAAAACTATGAACAATAAAATAGAAAAAAATACAAATTTGTCTACAATTGAATCCAAAATACAAACTAAGCAAACAAGAAGAACAGAGACAGAATCATGGATACAGAGAATGTTTTGATGGTTGCCAGTGTAGGGGAATGGGTGAAAGGTGAGGAGATTAAGTACAAATAGGTAGTTACAGAATAGCTATGGGGATGTAAAGTACAGTATAGGAAATGAAGTAGCCAAAGAACTTATACTCATGACCCGTGGACACAAACAATGGTGTGGCTATTGCTCAAGGGAAAGGTATGTGCTATGTGGAGGGGGGGCAAAGAGGAAAAATTGGGACAACTGAAATAGCATAATAAAATATAATTAAAACTAAAAAAAAACAAAATAATTTACAAAAAAAAAGAGAGTCGCCATAGAGGAGCTGGAGCTTTTTTACACAGAAAATAAGAGAAAAATAAGCTGTACAAAATTGCTAAATTCTGAGATCACACACACATACTCTGGGGTCATTCTCAGAGGAAACTACATAAAGCTTAGCTCATTTGAGCATCTTACCAAATATGGTAAGATAATTGTTTCCAAAGTGAAAGGAAAAAAATTTATATCCTGGGACAAAACTGAGCTTTCTTACCTTTAGTCTTGGACCAAACAGCCAGTATTATCTTTGTTTCTCTTTGTAAGATAGTTTCCAAAAAGATACAAAAATTAATCTGCCCTGGCTGGTGTGGCTTAGTGGATTGAGTGCGGGACTGGGAACCAAAGCATTGCCAGTCTGATTCCCAGTAGGAGCACATGCCTGGGTTACAGGCCATGTCCCCAGTAGGGGTGCGCAAGAAGCAACCACACACTGATGTTTCACTTCTCACTTTCTCCCTCCCTTCCCCTCTGTCTAGAAATGAATAAATGAAGTCTCTAAAAAAATTAATCTTCTCATATAGTGTATCTTACTTTTTGGAGGGACCATAAGTGCCTTTAAGAAATATTGTTTTTATTTATTTTTAACTTTTATTTTTATTTTTAATTAATTTTATGGATTATGTCATTACCGTTGTTCTATTTCCCCCTTCATTCCCCTTCATCCTGCACACCCCTCCCCCACCATTCCCCCCCTTTAGTTTATGACCACGTCTCAAGTTCTTTAGATTCTATATTTCCCATACTATTCTTGCCCTCCCCCGTATCTATTTTCTACCTACTGTCTATGCTGCTTATTTTCTGTACCTTCTCTCCCCTTCTCCTTCTCCCACTCCCCTGTTGCTAACCCTCCATATGATCTTCATTTCTATGGTTCTGCTCCTGATCTAGCTGTCCTCTTAGTTTGCTTTTGTTTTAGGTGTGGTTGTTAATAACTGTGAGTTTGCTATCCTTCACTGTTGATCTTTTTTATCTTCTTTTTCTTAGATAAATCCCTTTAACATTTCATATAATAAGGACTTGGTGATGATGAATTCCTTGAACTTGACCTTATCTGAGAAGTACTTTATCTGCCCTTCCATTCTAAATGAAAGCTTTGCTGGATAGAGCAATCTTGGATGTAGGTCTTTAGATTTCATGACTTGGAATACTTCTTTTCAGCCCCTTCTTGCCTGTAAGGTCTCTTTTGAGAAATCCTCTGACAGTCTGATGGGAACTCCTTTGTAGGTGACTGTCCCCTTATTTCTTGCTGCTTCTAGGATTCTGTCCTTCATTTTAATCTTGGCTAATGTAATGATGATGTGCCTTGGTGTGTTCTTTCTTGGGTCCAACTTCTTTGGGACTCTCTGAGCTTCCTGGATTTCCTGCAAGTCTATATCCTTTGCCAGATTGGGGAAATTCTCCTTTATTATTTGTCCAAATAAGTTTTCCACTTGTTGCTCTTCCTCTTCCCTTTCTAGTACCCCAATGATTTGGATGTTGGAGCATTTAAAGATGTCCTGGAGGTTCCCAAGCCTCTCCTCATTTTTTTGAATTCTTGTTTCTGTATTCTTTTCTGTTTAATCATATTTTTTCTTCCTTCTGGTCCACTCCCTTGATTTGAGTCCAGTTTGCTTTCCATCACTATTGTTTTCCTGTGCATTTCCCTTCATTTCAATTAGTTTAGTCTTCATATGTTCCTCTAATTTGTAACTAAAATTAACCAGTTTTGTGAGCATCCTGATCACCAGTGTTTTGAACTGTGCATCTGATAGGTTGGCTATCTCTTGGTCACTTAGAATTATTGGCTCTGGGGCTGTGAGCAGTTCTTGAGCCATAATGTTTTGGTCTGTTCACACCTGTTATGTATGAGGAGCAGAGCCTTAGGTGTTCACTGGGGCGGGGCCACCCAGGTTGCTGGGTTGTGACGCTGTATGTGGGGGCAGGGTCAGAGAGGGAGCAATAATGGTCCCCTCTGCTGCTTCCAGCCACTGAGGCCTGCATGGTCTGTCTCACTGCTCGTTCCTCTGCCTGGCTTATCTGCATGCAAATGTGTGACCACGGTCAGCCTGCAGCCTTGCGCTCTCACTGGGTCTGCCCGTCGCAACCCCATACCTGGGATCTGCCAACCGCCACCGAGCACCGGGGTTGGTTTGGCAGAGTTTTCCTGAGCAACCCGGCTTAGCCAGCCACTGGCTCCACCCCTCTTACGGGTCTGGCTGAAGGGTTCGTTGCTGTCCGACTTCAGTATAGTTCAATTTTCTTTGTTTTAGCTGAGTTTTTTGTTACTAAAATTTTATTGTCTTTAAACTTGGTTGTGTGAGAAGGCACAATGTTTCCACCTACACCTCCATCTTGGCAGAAGTCCCCCAAGAAAGATGGTTTTTAACTGCATACATTTCTGTGTATAATTTTAGGGGCATCACTGACCAGCCCTTCCCCCAAGCCAATTTGTGGACCACATTAATTATACCTCTCACACACACAAATCATTTGCCAAGTGTTTTCTAACCAGATACATCATTCAGGAAGGGAAACCAGGGTGTATGGTTGGAAGATCAAGAAATTTGAAGCCAGACAGATGTATATTTCAGACCTTGCTCTGTAGCATGACAACATGGCAAATACCCTTGGGAACTATCCCTTCATATGTAAGAGGAGGGTCATTGGCAGTGTTCTTATATTAGAAATAATGTAGGGGCAACCACAACTCAATATACATACATGTTAACAATGTCATTGAGCCAGCAGTGCCATGTAGCTCATGGATCTCAGCAACTTGTCTCACCTGCAATGTGGCCACCATATCTCACCCACCCTGCACAGCTATCACTCTTGTGGCAGCTGTGCTTAATGTCCCATAGAATAGCAGTGCCTTTGGGTACCTATCCATGGGTCTGGTACACATTTTTGGTCTTAAATAAATACTGGGTAGAGAACTGTTGAGCCCATCAAAAGTACTGGTTCAGTGTGAGTTTCCACAGCCCACTGCACTTCCCACTTGTGTTGGTGATAACTCAGTTACCTTCAGTTTGGTTCGCAAATTGTCCCCATCAGGCAAGAGAAGAACTTTGCCCTCCTAACAATAAATGGGATACAAGGAAGCTTGGGACTTTTTTAAATCTTTTATTATGTGACATTCAGATGGGCCCTAGCCTGTGTACTGCCTCCAAGGTTAGCTCTGCCCTAATACCTCCAGCTTCCACTCTCAGTGAAAAGAGGCTACAATTCTGAAGCTAAAGGCTTGGCACTGAAGCAGTGGTCCCCACGCGCCAATGTAGGGAGGGAATGGAAGTTGATGTGCCTTTCAGGACAGGTGGCCAAAGGGTAAGAGACTGAGTGGTTCCGCATTGGAGGAAGGTCACACAGGGAGAGGACAAAGGGTGCCTCCTGAAAGATGGAAAGGGGGGAGCTGGCCTGGGGCTGAGGCATGGGGGCAGGCAGGGGCAGCTGTGGGAGCAGCTGCAATGCAGGTTGCAGGGGGACAGAAGCCTCCACCTGGGGGCTGCTCTGTTGAGCAGTACAGCTCTTACTCTCAGGGCTGTCCAGCTCCCACAGAGGATCTGAATTCGGGACCTCAGTCTCAGTCTTAGTGACAGCAGCAGAAGGGCCCATGTTGATAGCTGCATTCATGCCATAGTGCCTCCGCTTGTTAATCCAGTACAACAGTGGGCTGTAGGTGAATGCAGTGGCTCTCATCACCTCCACCCACTCCTGGGCACGTTCTTCCCGCCGCAAGTTCTTCCTCCAGTGCAGAAAGAGAATGCAGCCACCAGTAATCACTGAACACAGCCCCAGGAATCCAAAGTACAGGGAGACCCACACTAAGGCATTAAGAAAGAAAAAGAGGCAAGCTGGATGATAGCTCTAGCTTGGGGCCGGAGCTCTTTCTCATTCCCCTTTTTAAACCTATTCATCTGTCATTTCATCTACTTAACCACTTTCTTCATTTCTTCCCTCCCTCCTCATTAACTTCATCTTTCTCTAAGTCAAAGCTAGATTTTCACAGAACTTCGGAGGCTGTCTTAGCCGTCTATAGATATGGAAAGCTAGGTCGGAGGAGGGGCATGACTTGCCCTGGCTAAATCAAGTTTCTGGTTCCCAACCCTGAATCCATCTAATCCACCAGATTGAGAAACCTCACTAAAGGCAAGGCTCATCAAAAAAGTAAAAGTTTAACAGTTCACAGGGACACCAGTGTCCCATCCCATTCCACCCATTCCCCATTCAGTTGTGATATCCTAGGGTATTCATAGTACCCCTCTGCCCTCAAGAAATCCTTAGTTTTCTGGAGGAAACCATATCCTAACTGTCTAGCACTCCTTTACCCCATCCATGTGAAAGGTTTTCCCTGAATGTCTTTCCAAGCTAAGGGCACAAAGCAAGGGTAGGTTATCAGAGGAGGGTCATTTACCACCAGGGAGGCTCAGGTCCTTTGGTTGAGAATCCATAAGATCAATCTTTGGTACCTTCCCAGACCCGATGGCTCTGGAGAGAAGGAGCTCACCTACCCATCTGTCCAGTCACTAGGAGTCCTTGGAAAGCCCAGACCCCATTGTTTTCCTAAAGATGAGGTCACTGGGTTCTGAGCATTGAGCATTCTGAGGGCAGTGCTTGTGAAGTGTTGGGTTAATGACAGCAACTCCATCTAATGGTGTCATAGTGCATGTCTACTGCTTCTATCAGGGACTGACCCAGCCACTAAATTGTCTGTCCCCTTCTCCTTATGGTGAGCCCAGAGAGCAGCCCCAGGAAAGGACCCAGGTCCCTCAAGGCCTTAGCCATGCTTCTGGGCTTTCAGAAACAGTTGATGGAGACCTGTTCCCAGTGAGAAGTGGGGCCGGGAACACACACAGCTTTGGGCAGCCCTGCCTTCAAGGTGTCTGTGACCTGGTAGTCAGGAGAAAACCTGCTCAAGGGAACTAAGTGATTTTTGTCTCCTTTCTTGGCTCATCCAATCTCATCTTTGCTTTGTTACCTTCCCTCAATAAGTGGAATTTACTGGGCACCAAGTCCTGTGGAAGCTCCCCACTTTCTGGCCCTACATCCTTTCCAGCATCACCTTCCTCCCCATCCTTCACATACCTTTCCTTTCTGATCAGACCATACTCCTTAATCCAGCATGCTTATTCACATATCTGGAGTTTCGCTAATACTGCCTCCACCCATAAGTGCCCCTCCCCACTCTTTCCCCCGCTGAACACCTGCTTATCCTTCACAGTTCAGCTCAACCTTGACAAACAGTTGTTTCAGCTGGCTTCCCAGAATCCCATCATCTCCAGTTTGAGGGGACTCTGAGGGTAGTCTAAAACAAAAGCCATCAGATGTTTGAGCCCTGAAGATCTCCCCTACCCAGCAACTCATCCCCTGGAACTTGCTTTGGTCCAGGACTTACTTCTTGTGACAACTTGATCCATTAATGGACTGCCCAGTTAGAAAGACTTTTCCTAATTAAACCCAAATCAGCCTCCCTGTACTACCCCTGGGCCTAGCTCAGCTTCTTGGCACCATTTAATTACTTCCCTCTTTGCGGCCCCTCCGCCAGCTTGTTGCTTGGTCACTACCTAGCACAGATTTCGCTCCAGGTTCCACTTCCTTCAGCTCTTCTCCTACCTCAGTGGCTCCTACTTTGCAGTCTCCTTGGCTGGTTTCTCCTCTTTTCCCTGACAACTAAATGCCAATATGCCCTAAGGCTCAGTCCTTAGCCCTTTATCTACATTCATTCCCTCAGTGACCTCATTCAGACTCAAAGCTTTAAATATCATTTATATACCTATATACACCAATAACAACTTCGTCTCTCCAGTCCAGACCACTCCTCAGAACTTTAGGCTCATAACAGCCCAACTGATGTCCCCACTTGCCAGTCTATTAAGTAATCTCAGACTAGCATGTCCAAAACTCCTGATCATCCACCCTCTAAAACCTACTCCCATCTGGTTGGGATAAATGAAGGAGGTGGAAGGAGAGGACCTGCTCCAGCCTTTCTCCTTGCTGTAAATGGCAATTCTGTCCTTCCAGTTGTCCAAGGCAAAGCTTGTAAGTCATCCCCGACTCCCTTCATTTACTCCATTAGCAAACTCACTCCATTAGCAAAACCTTCAGGTTTTGCTTTCCAAATCATTTGCCCATCCCTATCACCTCATTCTAAACACCACCATCTCTTACTTATAGGGTGACCATTCATCCTAGTTTTCCTGGGGCTGAGGAGGTTTCCAAGACATAGGACTTTCAAGGCTAAAATCAGGAAAGTCCCAAGTAAACCAGGACAAACTGGTCACCAGTGGGAGAGCTTCCATCCTTGCCCACCATGACCTATATTCCAGCAGCAGCCAGAATGATCCTTTAAAAAAAAAATAGATCATGTTACTTCTCTGCTCAAAACCTACAGTGACTTTCCATTTCACTCGGATTAAAAACCAAAGTCCTTAACCAAGGCCTACAAAGCGCCAAGCAATCTAACTACCCTTTCCCGTACTTCCTTCACACAATAACCTCCTTGGTGTTCTATGAGCAGGGCAAGCATGCTCCAGCACTGAGGCCTTTGCACTCACCAGTTCTTCTATCTAGAAGGCTCTTCCCCTAGGTATCCGTACAGATTGTTACCTCACTTCCTTCAGGTCTCTGCTCAAATATCTCATATCTTTATTCTTAGTCTGCTTTTTTTTTTTTTTTCATGAATAGCATGTGTCATCACCTAACATACTTATTCATTGTGTCTCACCTCAATAGAACATAAGCTCCCTGATTAATGTAAATGAGGAAATAAAACATCTAAGAATTTCAGATAATCATAACTGCTATAGAGACAAAAATAAGGTAATGAGAAGAATATAAAGAATGGAGGAGTTGGATCCAAAAAAGCCCCTTTGAAGTAGGTACTGACTTGTGAATGGAGCACTAAATGATGAGGCAGCCACATGCAAATCCACGTAGAGGGATCAGCCAGTGCAAGGATCCTGAGGCATGTACAGGCTGGCACAACTGAAGGACTTTCTGAGTCCAGCATTAGCCCCAGCCCCGAGCCAATGTCCATGAGTATAGGTAGGACTACTGAGCAGAGTTGAAGGCTCTGTCCCTGCCCCTTCAGGGTCCATCGTTCAGGAAGTATTTCTATCAGGTAACACCCAGACAGACAGCACTTCCATGGAGGCAAACTGGTCAATGCCATCACAGAGAGCCTACTGCAGACCTGGCCCTGTGTTCGGAGCAGGAGAGACACAAAGCTGTCATGGTCCCTGACCTCAGGAGCTCACACCATGCTCAGGGGGATGAAGAAGACTGTGGCAGTGGATGAAGAAAGAGGAAGAAGAAAAGCATTTCGGGGATCAAAAACAGCCTAAATAAAGACTTGTCAGGACAAGTGCAGGTGTCTTTTGGGAAGGAGAGTAGTTTAGTTTGTCTGGAGTTCAAGACAGATGGCAGGAAGTAGTAGAGGGAAACTGGGCTTTGGAGGTTGCTGGCATCTTGAAACGAGTTTAGACCTCGGCAGAACTTGAATGAGTTGCTTGGTGACTCTCATCCTGTTTCCTCATCTGTAAAATAAGGGGAAAAAACTGCTTCACAGGGTGTGAAGTAGATAGTGTTCTGCTTATAGAAACAGTCAGTAAAGAGAAGATGCTCTCGTGGTTACAATTGATGAAAGGACCTTCGATCCTGAAGGACAACTACTACAAGCAACTGCCAAGAAAATTTAAAAGGGAGCAAGCTCTGTCCTCTGGACCAGCAGATCTGAGCGGCTTTCAAGAGGAAACTGGAAAACCAGCGGCTGCTGCTAAGGACCCTGAAGGCGTAAATCCGAGCGGGCTCCCGGGTGGAGGCGCGCGGTGACACAGGAAATGCACAGGGCGAGAACCGGGGAGGGAGCGTTAAGACCCTTTCTCCCCGCTCCGCCCCTCTTCGCTCGGCCCCGGCTCCCGGAACGTTGCGCGTGCGGAACCTCGAGGTAGGATCGCCGGAGCGACGCACCCGGAGCGCGATGGAGAGGGCGCGCGGGCCGTGGGCCGAGGCCAAAGGGTCTGAGGACGTGGAGGAGGAAGTGGGGGAGGCCATGGCTGCCGTGGTAGCGGCGGCGAGTGCCGCGGGTCCGGCAGTTCTGCAGTTAGCTGGTCTCTATCGGGGCCTGTGCGCTGTGCGCAGCCGCGCCCCGGGCCTGGGGCTTGTGGCACCCGCGCAGTTGCGCGTGTTTCCGGTGCGCTGCGGTTCTCACCTGCCCACGGGGGGCGCCGACGGCAACAGTATTGGGGACGAGCTCGAAGCCAACCCTTTCTACGACCGTTACCGCGACAAGATCCAGCAGCTGCGCAGGTGCGGGCCCCGGCTGGCCGGCGGTGGGCAGGGAGGAGGGGCGGTGCTTGGCCTGTGCTTCTGGTGGTCCTGATGCTTTAGGTACTTAAAACACTCCTGCGAGGTGGGCACTACTACTGTCCCCACTCGACAGATGACGTATCTAGGCTCAGAGAGGTGAGATCGCTTGCCTCAGGGCACACAGCTAGTATCAGAGCTGATAGTCTCCGCAAAACCCTTGCTATTTATTTCTCTGTTGTCTGCCTTTATTCTTTAGTTCTGAAAGACTTAACAAACCTTATGAAACGGGCAGCTCCAAGATACCTGCCCTATAGAAATGGGAAGATGGAGCCTTCCAGAGAAGGGGCTTGACTTGCTCAAGGTCATATATTGAGTCAGCTGTGTGGCCTGGAACTGATGTTCCCAAGCTCCTAGCTAGAGCCCTGACTGCAAGGAAAGAAGACTGGAGGTAGGAGCAGGGTATCAAAGACTAGTGGTGTCACAGTTCAATCATCAGTTGAACCCTCTCATTAAGACTAGAAAACTGAGGATCAGAGAAAGTAAGAGACCTGCCCAAGAATACACAGCTTGGGTTGGGATTTATCTGACTTGGCATCCAGGGCTTCTAACACTACCCCCTCACCTTCCAGGTGGAAGGAACTGGAGATTAGAGGAAGTTGAGATGGGTGTATATGAAAAGGGGCCATAAAAACCACCAAAAAAACCAATTTCACCTAGAGAAGAGACATTTAAGGAATGACATAATAGTAATTTTCAAGTATTCATGAAAGGAATTAGACGTTTCTCTTATTCCTGAAGGTGAAAGATACAGAGATAAATTTAGGCTCAGAACATTTGAATAATAAAAGACATGCGAGGCAGGAGTGCACAGACTCCACTGCCTAAGTTGCTCCTCAGTCTCTCTCCATTCATCATGGGTGGCCTAGGTGTGGCTATTGGCACTGGCAGCCTGGGCCGGGGAGTTGCCACACACCACTGGGCAGGGCCTCTGGCACCACATGGTACACCGAGAAGATGATGCAGAGGGAAGAAGGATGCACTCACGTACATGGCAGTGATGTTTAATATTACCTCTGGAAAGAAGTTTTATGGAAGAGGGTCTCCCTATAGTGCCTTGACCAGCCAGGCTTCCACCAGAGAGTTGAGCAAGATGTGCTTGGATCTTATAGATATCACCCATGACATTACAGGTCTCATGGCTGAGAATCTGGAGTCGTCACCAAAGTGTACAGAGGTAAATATCACACTGACTACAGAGCCTAAAGAATTCTCAACAAGGACGGTGGCCTCAACCTGGACTTCGGGCCTGAAGACCAGTCCCACTTTGACATAAAGGAAAAGTTTCTGATGTTCCATCTGCAGGAGCAGGTTTTTTGGAAAGGGTCAAAGAGATACTAAATCTTGTGCTAGGGTGCTAAATCTTGTGCAAAATGGGCTGCCTCAACCACCTACATCTGAAAAAACAGATGTTTAACCTAGAGAGAAGACGTCCAAGAACTAGGTGTATTCAGATAAAAGCGTGACACTGGGTATGAATGCTATTGGATTCCTGCCTAAAGAAGTGACCCAGCAAGATGATCTCATAGTCCCCTTCCCATCTTGAGGATTTGAATTCCGTGTACCCAGAGTGTAGTACCTGAGAGACCAAGCTCTCTGTCACCTTAGGGAAAAGTCTGCAGAAGAAAATGTTACAAAGTCCTCTTGAGGATTAACAATAGTTAAAAGCTAGACTTCATTTTCCACTTTTTGATTTGTAGCCCTGTGCTCAGGCCTAACTAAAGGCAAATCCTTCCACCTCTGAATGCCTGTGTCCCCTCTGTAGAAGTGGAACATGATGTTTTGTTCTTTCCAAATCTGAAAAGGTCCCAGTGGTTTGACTTCTGGTTTACCTTTGATCAGGTCTGACCCAGCTGCTTTTGAGTCCCGACTGGAGAAACGCAGTGAGTTTCGGAAGCAGCCAGTGGGGCACTCCAGGCAAGGTGACTTTATCAAATGTGTGGAAGAGAAGGTAAGACCTTCCCCTTTTTGTGCTGTTGGCTCACCAGTACTCTACACTCTCAACCCCAACCCTTATCCTGGAAATGGACTCATTAATGGGTCAGCTGGATGAATTGAACATAGCCTCTCTCTGCTCAGCTCAGTCTCCATCCATAAATGGTATCCTACCTTTCTGGCAAACTACTGTGATCATGTGGAGATATGGAGGGATGGAAAGGGTAGCCAGTGCTTCCAGGGGAGGAGTCCTGTGATCAAGGTAATCCACACATGGCAGCGGGCTGTAGAGATTGGGGGCAAAAAAGGGCTTAGTAGCAATTCCCCTTAAATAAGATTCAAAGCTGGGGAAAAGCATGTTGAAGCTGTGTATAGGAAAGTAATCTAATGCAGTACTTTTCAAACTTTTTGACAATGACCCCCAGTAAGAAATATATTTTACATTGTAATTTAGTACACAGTATATGATTATAACTGAAAAAATGTATATAACAATGCGTTTGCTACATGCAGTGTACTCTAATTATTTATTTTATCTTTTTAAAAACTTTGGCCACAGTCCACTAAATTGATTTCAATCTATTATTTATCTAGGATGATGCACAGAATTAATTGGAGTGGGAGAGGCCAAAACCAGGGGAAATGTACAGTAACCCAGGTGTGGGCTGGGTACATCTTAAATAAGGTAGTTATGGTAGAAAATTGGGATTCCACTTTGTATTTAAATGAGAGGTGTTTCTTTTGCTTGGAGAATAACTTTTTTAGCTTTGGGTAGCCTAAGTTTTATGATAATCCACTCAGCCTTTTAACAAGTGGTTCATTAAAACAAGAGGGACAGTGGGTTAGTCGTTACAGGGTTGGGGAGTAAATCCAGTCTCCCATGACGCACATAGTATAACTCTGTGTGAGCAAACAACTCTACTACAAGTGTTTTAACAAATGCAATTTTCGGTAATAAAGTGATAGTGCCGATAATAGTTCTTTACTGTATTATAAACTTTCAATATTAATATGGGAAAGCTCTGTGTCCCTTTCTGTGGGCAGACTTAGAAACTCAACTTTATGATAAGATGCAGATTAAATAAAGATTTCATTTAAATTATGATAATCTAATTGATTAATCTGGTTAACCTAATTGATTATCCAGGTTTGAAGCCACATGCAACAACTGCAACAAGAGGTACAGCTGTTAAGTATTTACTTACTGTCTTTCTTTCCTAACTATACAGAAAAAGGCTAGTAGCTAGTGGCTCCATTTCAAAAGCTTCTTCTTCACTTTGAGTCATTGGTTCCTATCACACAAGACCCAGCATCTCCTTTTTGCAATAATTTTTTGTAAAGTCTCCCTTTCCTACCCTGAAATAAAATGTAGACAATACAGCCCTGGCTGGTGTGACTCCGTGGATTGAACACCAGCCTGTGAACCAAAGGGTCGCTGGTTTGATTCCCAGTCAGGGCACGTGCCTGGATTGCAGACCAGGTCCCCAGTGGGGGTGCGTCCACACATTGATGTTTCTCGTCTTCTCTTTCCCTCTCTCTAAAAATAAATAAATATAATCTTTTTTAAAATGTAGATAATATAATCCACCTACACACATAATTTCATGGAGGAAAAAAATCAATATAATGCCCTAACTGTAATATAAAGGAAAATTTCTTTTTTAGATTTTTTTAATTTATTTATTTTTAGAGAGGGGAAGGGAAGGAGAAAGAGAGAGAAACATCAGTGTGTGGTTGCCTCTCATGTGGCCCTCACTGGGGACCTGGCCTGCAACCCAGGCATGGGCCTTGACCGGGAATCAAACCGGCGACCCTTTAGTTCGCAGCCCATGCTCAATCCACTGAGCTATGCCAGCCAGGGCGGAAAATATTTTGTAATAGAATACATATTTTAATAAGTGAGTTTTTGAGCACAATTATTCTCTGAGACTTAATGCAGATGAAGCATCACAGTGAATGCACCATGAATATATAAGCAACAAAATCTGACTGGTCCAGGGTGCTGTGTTGGTAATTGTAAAAACTCAAACCATGAGCAATGTTGTGATCAGTGACCACACTGAGGTTCTATAATATAGTCTCCTCTCAAGTTACATAGTAGTTGCTTCTGAAAAATGTAGTGTTTATTAAAGCCATGTTTTAAAAAAATCAAGAGAGGAATAGGGGGAAGGAAAGAGGAACAGAAGGGAGGGAGGGGGGGAGGAAAAGAAAGAAAGAAAAGCAAAACAGAGTTAGATTCTAGGCCCAGGTAATTATAAAAAGGTTTTTCACTTAAAAGGATGTTTTGCTAGAGATTGGGAAGTTGTGCAGGATGAGGGAAAATCTTCATTGTATATAGAACTCATCTGTAAAGCTGCAGCTCATTCAGCATCCCTGTCCCTCCCGTTAAGTGCAGGTGTCACCGTCCAGTCCCTTGTGATGGCAAAACAGTTGTCCACACAGATCTCAAAAGGATCCATGAGGGAGTAGTAGTGTGCTCAGTGCTCTTGAGACACTGGCTCGTAGTTTCAATTTCCTTTTTACTTGATTTCACTGATTCTCAAGTTCACTTTTTATTCCCCCATTTTGACATCTCTAAAATTGTCTTAAAATTGATAATGAAATGTAGCTGTTGTGCTGTTTAACTGGCACCATTTTCTGATGCATAAAATAATGGTGCATCTTAAAATCAGTGGTGTCTTTGATTAGTTAAAATGCAGTAAGCTCAAATATTTTAGTTCTGTAAGTAAAAATGGCAATGAAGGATGAACTGGAGGGATATCATGGGGAAAGAATATACAAGGCTTGATGATAGAAAGGTCCAGGCAATTGTGTGAATAGAGGGTTTTATTTGTTTTGTTTTCACAATACACCTAAAGGTGAGTGGTAAGAAAATGAAATCATCTTCAGGAACTGCTGTAAAGGACACATGGGCAAAACCAAGGGGGGGGATGGAAGCAAGGGAGGGAGGGAGGTTTGGCTGGGGTGGGAGGGAGTGGTAGGGGAAAAATGCAGACAACTGTAATTGAAAGACAATAAAATAATGAAATCAGTTATTTTTTTTTGATAGTTTTTTTGATAGTTTGTGTATGAAGGAAAAACTGCATTAGGATGCTGTCAGTGTATAGGAGTATAACCAGAAAGACCAGGGTACATCCAATACATTTTTCTACACCAGGCTTTTGTCTGATTTGTGGGTACAAGTTCTGTGAGCATAATTTATGAAAGGTTGGATTTGTGAAATCACAGAGTAACAAAAGGCAGGGTTTTATGCAGAAAGTGCTTTTCAGCTTCCGAATCCCAGATGCAGCTTACTCCTTTCCCCTGAAAAGGCATGGTCTTGAACTGAGAAGTTGTGTGGAAGACTCAGAACAAGTCATCACCACACTCAGAAACAACTCAAAATAGGGCTTCCTGACTCTCTCCTTTATCAGAGATGCTGGATTAAGAGAGAATATAATCACCTTCAGTTGTTCTTGGCCTTTTGCAAAGTATAATTCGATGGAAGGAATATTAAGATTGCATAGTATAAAAACTCCTTGGTCTGCTGAGTATGTCTGCCATCAGAAGTGCTGTCACAGGTAAGAAGCAGCCTTGGGAAAGACGTCTTTCCATTTCTCACCTCCTCTGTGGTCACTGGGGAGCAGATCAGAGGGCAGAGCACAGAAAACCCAAGCAGCCCTCAATCTGGGAAGGGGTCCCTTATATCCATAGTGGCAGGTATAGGATGTACTCTCAGTCTTAGCAGATGCTTTTAACGAACAAAGGGATCTTCTCATCTCTGTATCTCAGAAGCTTAGTCAAAGAAAAGTGGTCTCACAAACAACAACTCTAACAACAGTATGTACAGTTACTATATGGAGTGGAGAGAAGTAAGTTCTTAGGTGCTAAAGTACTAGATGAGATACTGGCACCTCACCTCACTTGGTGGTCTTTTCCTTCTGAGAGAAGTATGGATTAATACCCTATCTATCATATATTTCAGACAAACACTTTGGGGAAACAGCCTATGAGCAGAGGATTCACTAAGGACAAGGTAGGTGTCTAATTGATTATCCAGGTTTGAAGCCATGTGCAACAACTGCAACAAGAGGCCACAAATCAGAACATATTTATGGTGGTTCACTGATTTAGTGATTTATCCACTGGGGATATGAGGGATGTTTCTGTGAATAGTTGTGTCCTTGTTGTAACCCTAGCATAGTGTGGGTCCTGGGGGTGCTAGAGGAAATAGAGTGATACCTTTTTTCCTATAGGAATTTGTTTTTAAAAATCAAAGAAAAACATATTTACCCCGTCACTTAATTTGCAAATAAGAAGCCACTCCTGGCAGAATCGCTGTTAAAGATCATCAAAATTTTTCCTCCTACCAGCTGCAGAGCGCTGCAGTGTTCATTGTGAGGGTGAAGGATTAGGACATACCTCTGGATACTCCCCAGAATAGCACTGCCAAAGCCTGCCCTGGCTGAGGGGCTCACTTCCCTGGCATACGGCTTTCTCACACTGCTTCTGTCTTTACTGAAGATCTGATTCACCGTCCTGACATGCTGCTTCCCACAGGCTTACAGATAAAGTTAAGTCGTTCTATTTTTTAGATTGTGGATACCAATTGCTTTTTGTTTTCTCTTTCAGACTCTCAGTTCAATCTTTAATATTGAGATGGTGAAAGACAAAACTGGAGATGAAATAAAACAGGTAATGAATGAAGATGGGTTGACGTACTTTAAGAAAATGTGTGCTCTGTAACCAAATCTGAGAGTACTCTCAGATTTGGTTACAGAGCATACATTTCCTGACACCTCTTTATAGCCATAGATAACAAGAGTGATGAATTACATGGAAAATTGTGTCATAAGAAAACTTGTCTGTCTTGGTCTCACTCCTGCATATCTCACTTTCATATTTCCCCTTTCTTTTTCATTCCTGTTAACCCACATCTTATTTAGAATCATTACTACTCTGTACCTGGATTATTATACTACCTTTCTAAATAGGTCTCCCTGCTCATCTTTTTCCCACTCCCCATCATATCCTCACCAGTTGAATCCTCTTAAAGTTCTGCTTTCATTACGGAGAAGACTAATGTATTGGTTAAGAATACAGACTCTAGAACCAAGCTGCCTATTTAAAGTCCTAGCTGTGCCCACTTACTAGTTGAATGACTTTGATGAGCACATCCCCTCCTACCCACATTCCCACCCTTTAGTTCATGTCCATGTGTCATAAGTTCTTTAGCATCTATATTTCCCACACTACTCTTGTGCTCCCCCTGTTTATTTTCTCCCCACTGTCTATGCTACTTATTCTCTATACCGTTTATCCCCTTCTCCTCCTTCCACTCCCCAGTTGCTAACCCTCCATGTGATCTTCACTTCTATGGTTCTGCTCCTGATCTAGCTGTCCACTTAGTTTGCTTTTGTTTTAGGTGTGCTTCTTAATAATTGTGAGTTTGCTGTCCTTTCACTGTTCATCTTTTTAATCTTCTTTTTCTTAGATAAGTCCCTTTAACATTTCATATAATAAGGGCTTGGTGATGATGAACTCCTTGAACTTGACCTTATCTGAGAAGCACTTTATCTGCCCTTCCATTCTAAATGAAAGTTTTGCTGGATAGAGCAATCTTGGTTGTAGGTCTTTGGATTTCATGACTTGGAATACTTCTTTCCAGCCCCTTCTTGCCTGTAAGGTCTCTTTTGAGAAATCAGGCTGATGGAAACTCCTTTGTAGGTGACTGTCCCCTATCTCTTGCTGCTTCTAGGATTCTCTCCTTCATTTTAATCTTGGCTAATATAATGATGATGTGCCTTGGTGTGTTTCTTCTTGGGTCCAACTTCTTTGGGACTCTCTGAGCTTCCTGGATTTCCTGGAAGTCTATTGCCTTTGCCAGATTGGGGAAGTTCTCCTTTATTATTTGTTCAAATAAGTTTTCCACTTGTGGCTGTTCCTCTTCCCCTTCTGGTACCCCTATAATTTGGACATTGGAACGTTTAAAGTTGTCTCGGAGGTTCCTAAGCCTCTCCTCATCTTTTTGAATTCTTGTTTCTTCATTCTTTTCGGTTTGGTAATTTCTTTCTTCCTTCTGGTCTACTCCATTGATTTGAGTTCCAGTTTTCTTTCCTATACTTGTGCTTTTAAATAAATGAATAAAAATATTAGTAACTTGCTCACAAATGTTCAATGACTTACCACATTCCTTTGCTTGGCATTCAGGGTCCTTCATTATTATAGGACCTTCTGCAGGAAGTTTCCTGGACACCTTCCTTCAAAGCACTCTTGATCTGTCCTGCCAGTTTGGTCACTCCAATACTTTGATTTACATTTCTACTTAAATTTTCATGTCTATGATGTTTTTCTCTAATTAGACTATAATATGCTATTTGTTGACATTCCTTATGGTTCCATGAATTATATTTTAGTTGTATTGAGAGAATCAAAATAATAAAAGCAGTGTACTCTGTGTCAGGTACTTTTCTTAGTGCCTCACGTGCATATTTCATTCAGTTCTCATAACTGCTTTGTAAAGTAGATGTTACTATTCCTGATTTACCACTGAGGAAACCGTAACTTAAAAGAATTGAGTGACTTAGTACATGGCAGAGCTAGGACACACACCCATGTCTGACTGACTCTGTATCGCATTCCCTTATGGAAAGTTGTGTGAATTGCCATGGTTTTCCTTTGCAGGCTGTGTCATTTATTTCAGCAAGCATTTATTGAAAAGCTATTAAATGTCAGGCTCTGGGCCAACCAGGGAGATAAATGAGAGAATCCCCTGCTCTCAAGGAGCTTGATGGAGCTTTTGTGTCTGTCCTTCCACCATTAGCCTGATGGAAGGACAGACATGAAAATAAAGACAGCACCAGGGTTTTAATCTCTGTTAATAGAGACTTATGCAAAGTTTCGAGGAAACTTCAAACTGCCTTTGGGAAGAAGTGCCAATGGAAAGTGGACACCAAGCATGTCCTTTAGGCTTCTCTGAGCCAGGCCCAGAAGTCTTGATTATGTGACAAATATGATTTACACCTATCATTTTAGATACAAATTTGTGTGTTAAAATGATTTTGAGTAACCAAGGTCAACTGTGTTAGGAAACATCTCAGTCTCATACACTTTAGTGTTTATTCATAAACTGCTAATAATACAAGTTCTGTCCAGAAGGTATCCAGCCATGTAATAAGAAAAATAGAGACATTTATTAAAGAAGATACAAGATACAAGAAACATTGTACGTAGGACAATGATGCCTCAGTCCCCTTCAAAGTAGGCACCTTGGGGACCTCACACAGTTCTCCCAGTTGCCATCAGCTGCCCTGTCATATTTTCTTGAATCTCATCGATGGTCTAAAAGTCTCTTCCCTTTCAAAAGTGATTTTAGTTTGGGGACAAGCCAGAAGTCACAGTGCCATAGGGGTGCTGAGTGACCTGGCTGATTTGATGTTTTGCAAAAAAACTGCATGAGTAGGCGTGTTGTCACAGCAAAGCTGCCCATTGCCAGTTGCCCACAGCTGTGTCCTTCTGAATCATCTGAATAGTTTCTGCAGAGGAATATTCAAGCTTAATGCAAAATTTGATGCAAGTTCATTGCTCTACTCACTCAAGTCATTTTGAATGTGACAGCCACACAGTACACATGCTCACTCAAGGCAGGAGGGGAGGAATGCAGCAGGTGGAAAACTTGGAAAGAAAAGAGCTGTGATCCCTTCCACTGAGAACTACTTTCTTCTATAGAACCGCAGTTTTGTGGATGTGGGTAGACATATTACACTGGGACAGGTTATTCCAGCATTTTTACCTGCACGTTCCGAGTCATTCGGGCGCATCAGTCCTTTCAACAGAACCTGCCTTAGGCACTTAACCTTTTGTGGCTCAGGCACACCAACACATGCTCACTCAATGGCATCTACCACCTCCACTGACTAGTACAGTGAAGTCGTCATTGTTCACACAGGTACATTCCAATCCACTCTCCTTGGCTGCCAGGTTACATCAATGCTATGCAAACTATTCTTGTTACATTAACAATGGCTGGCCTTTTTCTAGACAGACCTTATAAATTAAATAAAAAATAAGCAGGATATGCTATCCTTCAAGTGAGAACACAATGTTCTGACGTGGGGAAAAAATAAAGCAGAGCAACCTTAGGCTGCACTGATAGAGTGCTCTGCCCATGTCCTAGGAAGCCATAGTCATTCTGTGCTTTGCGTTGGTTAGATTACACTGTGATTAGTATCTTCAGTTGGTCCCCCATTTAATGGGAATGTTAATAAAGCAGAGCAACTTTAAAGGAGGGTGACCCATTCTTCAACACCATCTCAGGTGTCGCCTTGGCTCTGCTGTCTTCCCCTACTTCTATGCCTTTGCTAATGTTGTCATTCTCTGCTAGAATGTCTCTCTTATCTTCTACTCTACCTGTTTGTCTTTCCAGACTCCCTATTCACCTGGCCAACTCCTGATCACTTTTCAAGATAACACCTTAAGTGTCCCCCTTTCAGCACTCATTTCCTAACTTGGGTTAATGCCTCTTTGTCACCCTCCAGAGCACCTTGGCTCTGGTTTGCATTGCAGTTCTGTTGTGCTAAGCACAAACCTGCGTTATTTCAGTTTATCTTCACAACAGTCCTGTGAGGTGACACTATTTCTATTTTATTCATGGTTATATGGATATTATTTAGTTATCATTCAGTAATTTGCCCAAAATTGCATAGCTGTGAAATGACTGGAGCTGGAATTTGTATCCAGTCTGTCTGATGCCAGACCCTGGGTTCTGAGTGACTGATGTCCTGCTCTCTGAGAAGACCCACAGTTGCTAGGGAGTTCGGGTTTCAGAAAAGATGAGAGGAGACATGAAAAAAAAAGAGCTTGTCTATTACACACAAGGCATGTCTTGAGAAGAATTATTAAGAAGGTCATAGTATCCATTTCTGTGACAGGAATTTGTTAGTAAGAGTTACAGTTTAATCACCTAGAAGAGTAGATGCTATTAAATCTTTTTGTAATGTTGAACTAGTAATAAAAGCATTGCGTTAGATTTTCCTCTCTGTTGTCAAATAGCATGTTACTGTGAGCAGTGAAAGCTGTCATTATGTCTTGGTGCAGGTTGAAAAGATTAGCTGCATGTCACAGACATACTCTCTTTTTTGTACAGATTTGGCAGCAGTACTTTGCAGCAAAAGATACAGTCTACGCAGTTATTCCTGTAAGTAGTTTGGAGGGGAAATGAGAGTGTTATAGCATGAAGGTCATGTCTCTAACCTTAGCAGGCAGTCGCCTTTACTTTTCCTATGTTTATTGCCTCTTGAGAACTTACATTTATAGCTCTCAGGGTTTTTATTATGTCCTGAGTACCAAAGATTGGAAGCTCCATATGGTATATTTATGGCTCTTGTTTTCCCTCTTTCTGGTTTAGAAATGTCCCTTTAAGTCAAGTCTCTGACAAGGGAGCATGGTGTAAGTTCATGTTGCTGAGCAATTTCCAAGTCTTTTATTTCTTTTTGGTGTTTTCCAAGCTATTGAAATTTAATACAAGGCCTCTAACATAGGTTTCTCCCTTTCTTTTTTTTTTTTATTGATTTTAGAAAGAAAGAGTAAGAGAGCAAAAGAGAGGCAGACATCGATTTGTTGCTCCACTTATTTATGCATTCATTGGTTGATTCTTGTGTGTGCCCTGACCAGGGATCAAACCCACGACCCAGGCATATTGGGACAACTCTCTAACCAACTGAACTGTCCAGCCGGGGCCAGTTTCTTTCCTTCTTGTCTATAAGTGAGCTGATTTAGCGCCTCCTCCTAATTTTTTTCTGGCATTTCCCCTGAGCAAGTGGTATTTTCTCGTGGGGTTTTCCCCCCTTCTTGAAATTGCTATATTGAAGATAGATAGTAACCAGCCACTGCTTGACCATTGAGATCAGCATTTGATGTACAGGGCGATCAGCTAGTTCTTTATGCTCTTCCTCTTCCTTGAAGAGGAAGTAGCCTGGGGTAAGTTTATATCAAGAGCATAAATATAATACCAAGCTTATATGTCTAAGTATAAGATTAAGGATAAAAACTTATAGGCATAAAAATAAAGCCAGGCCTTTTGGTTGCTGTGATAATATTGCTACTATTTTCCTGCCTTTTATACATACATACCTTTCCCCTTCATAAGTTTAACAGCCAAAGGATCTGTACTTCTGTAATGTTTTAGATGTCTAATACTGGCTCATTGTTTGAATGGGCCTTGTTAGGCTTCCTTCAGACAGATTTAGTGACCTGATAGTGCAGGCACTTGGCAGGTCCCCTGGGGAGTTTGGAGCATTTGGAGTATACACTGTTTACACACAGTTTTGACATTGAACAGCAAAGAAGGCGTCTGGTCTTTCCTCTCTGTCACAAGAGGGATTTGTAAATGATGAAACAGATTATGTTAATTATATTTTAGTTCTAGAGTTTAGTCTTGGTGAATTTAAATGTAATTGTGGCCTTTCCTGGTTTTTTTTGTTTATAAATTTTATTCCTTTCTAACCTACAGGAAGAAAAGTTTGATTTGATCTGGAACCGGGCTCAGTCCTGTCCAACAGTAAGTTTCTGGATTGCGTGTCACTGCTGCCAACAAGGATGCTTTCTACCCGATCTCTTGATGTTCCATACTGTCTCCCGTTACAGCGCTGTTTGTTTAACAGAGACGCTCATCTGTTGGTTGTACTAATACGTGACATTTTTAGCCTTATGAAATCATGTGAGTTTGGCCCAGTAAGTCTCTGACTCTATAGATATCTCTCTCCTTTCTAATCTGGATCTTAATCCATCAGTATAAGTGAATGTTGGAGCAGCACCTGAGACCATATTTTCAACTTCCCATGAGAGTCTGTTTTATTAGCAGTTTTCTTTTCAGTTTTAGCCATGCCATCCCAATTGTATGTACCTAAAAGGAACCATGAGATTGTTCCTGGAGTAATGAGCTACCGAGGGAAGGGAATAGGTAAGGTAGGCCAGCTGTCTGGGTGTTGGTAATAATTTCTAGGATTATCAAAAATATTTGCCAAACATTACTGAGAGAAAAAACATCTAACTAAATGGAAAGACATACCATGTTCATGGATTAGATGACTTCATACTGTTGTCATTTCTTCCCAAATTGATATCTAGAATATGATCCCAATCAAAAGCCCAATAGGCTTTTTTTAAAGAAGTTGATGAGCTGATTTAAAAAATTTATTTGGATAGCCAAAGGACCTAGAATAACAAAACAATTTTGCAAAAGAACAAAGTTAGAGGACTTATATTATCTGATTTCAAAAATTAATATAGGGACTTCCGCCAAGATGGAGGTTTAGGTGGATGTGCCGTGCCTCCTCACACAACCAAGTTTAGGGACAACTAAATATTAGCATCAGAAAACACAACCAGAACACGGAAAACTGAACTTTTCGGAAGTCCGCTAACAACAAATTCTTCAGCCCGACCGGTAAGGGGCGAAACCGGCGTCGGGTGAGGAATTACAAAGGAGGGCTCGGTCGGACCCGGGCGCGGAATCCAGACGCGCAAATCCAGTCGCACGGGTTCCAAACCCAGGATTGGACCTAGTGAGCGACCGAGCAACCCACCGGGTGAGCGACTACAGAGGAGACAGTGGGGAGGCGGTGCAGCGAGTTGACTGTGGTTGCCTAATTGCACGCGAGTGAGGGAGTGAGCAGTTGGACCGGCGGCGGCATTTCCCCGCTCTGACCACGCCCCCACATATAGCGTCACAAACCAGCGACCTGGGACTCCAAGGCGCCGCTTCTCCCACTTAAAGGGCCAGAACAGACCAAAAATGTCGCAGGGAGAACTCAAAGCCCCAGAGATAAATCTAAGTGACGAAGAAATAGCAAAACTCTCAGACGCACAGTTTAAAACACTGGTCATCAGCTTCCTCACAGATCTGGTGGATTATAGCCACAAATTAGAGAAACATATGAAGGCTAAATTAAGGGAAATGAATGGAATTCCACAGGAAACCCATAGAGATGAAAAGGAAACTGGGACTCAAATCAATGGAGTGGACCAGAAGAAACCAAAAAATGGCCAAACAGAAAAGAGTCAAGGAGCAAGAATTCAAAGAAATGAGGAGAGTCTTAGGAACCTCCAGGACATCTTTAAACGCTCCAATATCCGAATTATAGGGGTACCAGAAGGGGGAAAGACACAACCACCAGTGGAAAAACTATTTGAACAAATAATAAAAGAAAATTTCCCCAATCTGGCAAAGGAAATAGACTTCCAAGAAATCCAAGAAGCCCAGAGAGTACCAAAAAAGTTGGACTCAAGAAGAAACACACCAAGGCATATCATAATTACATTAGCCAAAATTAAAATGAAGGAAAGAATCCTGGAAGCAGCAAGAGGTAAGCGGACAATCACCTACAAAGGAGTCCCCATCAGGCTGTCAGCAGATTTCTCAAAAGAGACCTTACAGGCAAGAAGGGGCTGGAAAGAAATATTCCAAGTCATGAAATCTAAAGACCTACAACCAAGATTGCTCTACCCAGCAAAACTTTCATTTAGAACGGAAGGACAGATAAGGTGCTTCTCAGATAAGACCAAATTCAAGGAGTTCATCATCACCAAGCCCTTATTATATGAAATGTTAAAGGGACTTATCTAAGAAAAAGAAGTTAAAGAAACATGAACAGTGAAAGGACAACAAACTCACAGTTATTAACAACCACACCTAAAACGAAAGCAAACTAAAAGGACAGCTAGATCAGGAGTGGAAACATAGAAATGAAGATCTCAAGGAGGGTTAGCAACAGGGGAGTGGGAGGAGGAGATGGGGGAGAAGGTACAGAAAACAAGTAGCATAGACAGTAGATAGAAAATAGATGGGGGGGCAAGAATAGTATGGGAAATATAGAACCTAAAGGACTTGAGACACATGGACATAAACTAAAGGGGGGTAATGGTGGGGTTGGGGGGGCAGGGTGGAGGGGAATGAAGGGGGGAATAGAACAACTGTAACAGCATAATCAATTCAAAAAATAAATAAATTAAAAAAAAATTAATATAAAGCTACGTAATGAAGATGCTATGGTATTGGCATAAAAAGAGACATGCAGATAAGTGGAACAGAGTAGAGAGTCCAGAAATACACCAACATATGTGTGGTCAAGTTATTTTTCAGCAAAGGGGCCAAGGTAATTAAATGGAGGGAAGGATAATTTTACTTTACTTTTTTAAAATTAATCTTCACCTGAGGATATGTTTATTGATATTACAGAGAGAAGAAGGGGGAGAGAGAGATTGAAAAACAATAATGTGAGAGAGAATCGTTGATTGGTTGCCTCCCGTACTCACCCTGACCAGGATCAAACCCACAACCTTTTGGTGTACGGGATGGTGCATCAACCAACTGAGCTGCCCATTCAAGACAGGATGGTCTTACTCCTGCCTCATACTATATCCAATAGTTAAGTCAAAATAGATCATAGAATCTTAGTGATTGGTAGTGATAGAAACCAAACCTGTTTGCTTGGGGAGAGTTGGGGAGAGAAAGTTATGAATTAAAAAGGGACTTTTTAGAGAAGATGTCCACTATGTTTATTGTGGTAATGGTTTCACAGTATACATATATCAAAGTCATCTAATTGTGCACTTTTTTTTTCAAAACATAATGAAGTATCTCATCTTTTTTTTTTAAGATTTTATTTATCTTTAGAGGGGAAGGGAAGGAGAGGAGAGAAATATCAATGTATGGTTGCTTCTGGTGCATCCCCTGCTGGGAACTGGCCCCTGCTGGGAACTGGCCGCAACCCAAGAATGTGCCCTGATTGGGAATTGAACTGCGATCGTCTGGTTCACAGGCTCACACTCAATCCACTGAGCTACACCAGTCAGGGCTTAATTGTGCACTTTTAATATGTGTAATTTACTGCTTCGAGTAGACCTCAATAAAATCTCTAAAAAAAAAATGTTTTCCCTGACAAGGGGCCAGCAATTAAATAGGCGCTGAGGTTATTCCATCTAATAAAACAAAACTGAGCCTGAGTGGTTGGCAGTGAGGACATAGTCCCATGACTTGTGCATGTTGGATTGCTCAGCTTTTGCGTTGTGGCATCCTTCTGTCACTACATCCCCAAGTCTGCATCCTTCTCTCCTCCGTCACTCATCCCCAAGTCTGAACATCTCGAGCATAAAACTAATCACTTCTCGGAATATCCAAGTGTCAGCCTCGGAGGATAAAGTATGAAGTGATTATACTTATTGGAACAAAAATTAATTCAGCAGCATTAAGAAGTTTGGAAATTGAAAAAGACCCAAATATTCGTCAGTGGAAGACTAGATAAACTGTGGTGAATTTATATAGTAGAAATCCATACAACAGTGAAAAGTTAATGAATTAGAATTATAGTTATCAACATGGATAAATCTCAGGAGTATAATGTGAAGTGAAAAAAGCAAGTCGCAAAAGTATACATGATAAATAAGATTTATGTTTTTAAACATGCAAACAGTACTGTTTCTTGTTTATGGATATATGCATACACATTAAAAGTATAAAAACCTGAAAGGGAATGGCAGTCAGCAAATGCAGGGTAGATGTGAACTCTGCGTTGGGATTGGAATGGGTTACACAGCTTAATTAAATTGGATATCTAATGCTTTCTTTCTCAGGTGCATTGGGAAGAGTATATATGTTTTATTACCATGTAGGAATTTAATTGCTTTAAAAAATGTTTTAAACCAAAAGCTGAACAAAATGAGTGAGAACTCCATCATTCTCATCGGATCTGAAGTAAAAAAAAAAAAGTTTTAAAACAAACATTGAAGAAATTGGGTGAATAATATAGGGGGTTGGCTGTAGAATAAATAATTTTATTTATTCATCTATGTCCTTGTGTATTTTTTCCCCCAGTTTCTATGTGCACTACCAAGAAGAGAAGGCTATGAGTTCTTTGTAGGACAATGGTCGGGCACCGAACTCCACTTCACTGCACTTATAAATATTCAGGTAGGTGGCTTGTGCTCCTCTAGAGGAAAGAGGCCTGCCCCTTGGTGGGACCATAAGCCTTGCTGAGGCTCTAGGACACATGCCACGTACTAACTCCCCACAGTATTTGTCATAGCATTGATGAATTGTCATACTCGGTATGTTGGGCTAGCTTTCTAGGCCCTATTCATAGTACCTCAGAATTGGAAAAGCCCCAAAACATGTTCTCTGACTACTTTGGGCTCTCTCCTGTCTCTTCCTCCAGCCTCTAAAACATTTACTGCATGAGCCTCACTTAACAGACATGGGTGAGTTATAATGGTTAGAACCTTAAGGTTTTTAACCTTAAGGAAGGCGCCATGTTTTACATGAGTTTTATTAATCAGGTCAGCACTTTCTAAGGTGCTAGATGCGTAGTTTCCATTCCATAGATGCTGTTTTGTGTGATTCCCTCCTTTGTTTTCTTTTATCCACAAATGCTAGATTAAGTTCAATCCAAAGCATTTGAAGCTTTTAAAATAAAAGTCAGTGTTTTACATCAGGTCATAGTGAAGATTGGCATTCTACATTTGGAGGCCAAATCTGGCAAAAAAAAAAAAAAAAGCTAGCATGTATTTTATTGACCTTGAAGTTGGGATAAAGGGAGTGCAAAATAGAATGAGGGAGCAGCTTACAATTGTTTTTAAATTCTACTAACAATCATTTATTGGGCCCATACTGTAATAATCAACATTTGATATACTTACTATGTGCCGGATTTTTCTGGCACAAATATTATTTTAGTCCTCACATATATTCCATGAGATAGTTACTATTATTTCTATTGACAGAGAAGAAAGTAGGCTCAAAGAAGTTAGTTCACGTAGCTAATAGTGGCAAAGCTGGGTTTGATTGACTTCAGGTCATTGACTCCAAAGTCTATGAACTTAAACATTATGCTATCATGTTGGAAACCATGCTGAGACCTACATACCTTTGAGTCAAAGTCCTGCCCTCAGGAAGTTCATGTACAGGTATAAGAAAAAAGATCCAGAAAACATGATAATGATGAAAATGATCAGTATAGAAGTATGTTCAGAAGAAGTGAGAGGCTGAACTATTAAAAGTACCCTAGCAATACTGAGAAATTGATGATAAAAGGACTTGCTGAATGTTTAGAGATGAAACCCAGAGATTTTTTAAAGGTTTTATTTATTTATTTTTTGAGAGGGAAAGGGAAGTAGGAAAAAAGGGAAAGAAAAATCAACATATGGTTGTCTCTTGTGTTCCCCCTACTGGGGAGCTGGCCTGCAACCCAGGCATGTTGCCCTGACTGAGAATTGAACCTGTGACCCTTTGGTTCATAGGCTAGCACTCAATCCACTGAGCCACACCAGCCAGGGCCAGAGATTTTTTTTTTTTTAACGTATAGTTGTTTTCCTCGTACACTGTATGAGGGCTTTAGCTTTGAACCCATTCTCTCTTCCTAGTCTGTATTGAGGTCTAGTAACTACTGCCCTGTCCATTCTTTATGAAATTATGATGTTCTTATTCTTCTTTTCCCCCTACCTCCCACCAAGATTGTATTTTAAAACTACACATTACAAATCTGGCCCATGTGCAAACTCTCCAGCTGTTTGCTACAGCTTAAAAGAGCTCAGTCTTCAGAGCCAGCCAAGGGGAGTAGATTTCAACTGTGAAATGCACTAGTCCATAAAAGTGGCAATTACACAAGCATATTGCTTTCTTTAGAACTTGATTTGGTAGCTACTTGTGCTGTTTTGTTTTTAAAAATATAGCCATGATGAAGGATTCACTGCCTACTGTAAACATTTTCTGGGAAAAGAGCCAAACCTTTTTCAATTGAAGACACAAATAACACTGTGCAAACTGTCACTTTCACCCTGCCTTGGCAGGCCTACCCATCCCCCACGTACCAGGCCTCGACTCACTAGACACCCAAGGGGCTGGTAAGAGCAAGAATTTCCTCCAGACTCTCTATTGCTCTGAAATTGCAGTTTTGTTGTGGTAGTACCTCATTGAGCCTTGATGAGTGTTCCTCCTTACAGACCCGAGGGGAAGCTGCAGCCAGCCAGCTGATTTTATATCACTACCCTGAACTTAAGGAAGAAAAGGGCATAGTACTGATGACAGCAGAAATGGATTCTACATTTCTGGTAAGAGTCAACTTTTACCTCTTTGGATTTACGTAGTAGCCCTGAAGGTATTATTTTTCTTCATAATTTCAGGAGAGGTAAAATTCATGAGAGCTATATCAATTTGTTTCTCACTTAAAGTTGGCAATAATTAGGTCTTGCTCAAACTCTTCTAAGACTTGAAGTTAGTACAGATTCTCAGTCACTTCACAGTTTTGAAGTCCAGACACTCCGCATACACTCTACCCGTATTGCCTTTGTAAAATTCAAAAATTCTGACTTTAGCAAAACATATCTGGCAGTAGGAGTTTTAGGTAAGAGACTGTGGACAAGTAAATGGCTGCTTAAGTGTAAAGAAGAGTTCAAAGTCTAGAATAGTTTTCGATCTTTTATCTTCCATACTGTTCACATATACAACATTCCTCATACACAGTGACTTCCTTCGCCCCTCTTCCTGTTCCCTGGGATAGAGCATCAACCACATGCCCATAAATAATGATATCCATTGTGTTTGTGCTGTTTGCATATCTAGAGTTAGGAGCAGTTTCATGATTATGTACAACCTATTTCTCTGATCCTGCTCATTTTAGGCTCATATATCTGGCAACATTTAAGTTCAGGGTGTCCTCAAGATGCTGGCCACTTTCATGCCTCTTTTCCCTGAGACTTTTTATTACAACACCCACTTATTTTTCCTATCTCTCCTTACCAGCTGCATACAGGGAAGGAAAAAGTGATGGCCTTCAGCTAGTCGTTCACAGTAGCTGAGTCACAAGTCTTGGACACAGTTGGGACTCTGCTTCCTTGTCTATTATTCCTGAAACTGTCAGTCCCATTTCTCCCATTCTTCCTTCCACCCATCACACTCAACAGGAAGTTACCCAAAATCCTATCCAGAAGAATCAAGTTGCCATTAACTGAGATAGACAAGATTGTGGGAAGAAAAGCTTTGGAAGGAAGATCAGTAGGTCACTTATGGGCACATGAAATCTGAGATGCCTATTAGATTTCCAAGTAGTAGGCAGTTAGATACAGGAGCCTGGAATTCGGAGGAGAGGTCCAGGCTGGAGATATAAATGTGGGAGTTATCAGCAACAGATCATTATTTAAAGCTGTGAGACTGAATGAAATCACCAAGAAAGTAAATGGAGATAAAAGAAAGAAGAGGTCTGAGAACTGAGCCCAGTGGAGATGCTGAAGCATCAGCAAAGAGGATTTAAAAGGAACAATGACATAGGCAGAAAACTAAGGTGGTAGAATGCCCAGGAATCGAGACAAAATGTTACAAGGAATAGGGCGTGTACAACTGGCCACATCTCGCTTGCTGGTAGGGAAAATGAGATGAGGACTGGGAACTTACTACATTTTACAACCTGGAAGTCACAGGGATCCTTTACAAGGGATGTTTCAAATGAGCAGTAGGGTCAGCACTTAATTGGAGTGCATTGAAGAGAGGGTGGAAAGAGAAATTAGAGTCAGCATAAACAAAGTTTTGGAAGGGTTTTTTCTGAGGGGAAGGACAGAATGGGGTGTTAGCTGGAGGGGAGAAGAGGGAATGAGAGCGCTTTTGTTTTATTTATGGGAGAATGATATTTGCGTACTGATGGAAAGACCCAGAAGAGAGGGAAATGTTGGTAATGAGGAGAAAGGGAAGAATTGTTGAAGTGATATTTTCAAGTGGGTAACTCTGGGAATGAGGGGAATAGAGCAACAGAAGCGAAGCCAGGTTTCAAGGACACAAATGCAGTTTAAATGGATAGTGGAGGCGGTAGCCTGTAAAAATTCTCTCTAGTTGGCTTAGTGAAAAGAAGGAAAGGTCTAAGAGTGAGGACGGAAGAGTAGAGGTGTTGAATGTTAGCATGGAAGAGAAAGTCTGGAATCATTGTCTGGGACAGGAGTCACCCAACTACACAGCCTGTAGACCAGATTCGCTCCACGGTCTGTTTTTAGAAGGCCTATGAGTTAAGAATTTGTTCTACATCTTTAAATGGTTGCAGGGGAAGGGTGGGCTAAAGAAGCGTAATATTTCACGACCTGAGAAAAGTATATGAAATTGAAATTTCAGTGTCTGTAGAAAAAGTTTCATTGGAACACAACCATGGTTGTCATTTACGTATTGTCCCTGGCTGTTTTACCTCAACAAGAGAGTCGAGTAGTTGCAACAAAGACTCTAGGGCCCATAAAGCTTAATACATTAACTGTCTGTCCCTTTACAGAAAGCGTGTGCCTGCCTGTGGTCTAGAAAAATCAGAGAAGGGCTGTGTGGGTACAGGCACAGGAAGAGAGGCCTGAGAGTTGGATGTAATGAGGGTTATGGGTTAGCCAACTGGTACAGTGAAGTAAAATAGGAACCAGGAGGTTAAAGCACAGGAGTGATTGTAATTGTTGACTATAGACTGCAAGCTGGATAAAGAGGGAAGTGAAAACATAAGAGAGGTTAGAGACAGAATTGTGAGTTCTAGCAGAATAAAAAGATTTTTGAAGCTGGAGGTGAGTTTAAAAGACAGGAAATAGTAGACAAAGTATGGATGTTGCAAATTGAGATTTGGGGGGATATAGTTACCAACAATGACAAGGTTTGAAATTTGACCTGAGGCGTGAGTGACCTGGAGAATGCACTTTACTATCTGGTCTTCAGCACGGGATGGCCTCTAGTGTGTGCACTCTCAGGGACAGAGAAGAGAGCCTCCGACTTGGGCGTTTTGACAACCTCACTTTGTCGGTCTCAAACTGTGCACAGTTCCCATCATCATTAAAATTCACTTCCTTGTCTTGTAACATTCAACAGCACACCAGGAAATATATACAGGGTGGGGCAAAAGTGGCTTTACAGTTGTTCCTATGGAAAATAATACAATAATTAATAAATAATAATACAAGAATAAACTCTGTGTTGTGCATGCTCACAGCTATGAACCTACTTTTGCCCCACCCTATGGTTTACCTTGTATAAGTCAACTTGACTGTGAATGTCTAGTATAGTAAAGTAACTCCTCTTTTTATGTTGTCGATAGGTTCTTGAAACTGCAGCAAAATGACAGAACAAAACCACCTTCACCATAGGCTAGTTGATGTGCACAACAGTTAAGGTCCCACAGCATCTCATCAGTATTATAACAAAACATCACTGAATGAAATGTTATTCAAGGAGCTTCTGTACAGAGCTGGATGTGTTAGAAGTTATTGTGGTGGGAAACCTAGAAGTGTAATATGAATGAAGAGAAATCATGTTTGTTATTATGCCTCCTTATTGAGCACACAGGGAGTTAATATGTTTATCTTCTTGGGTCTTGGAAAGAGAGGAGACTGTTGCTTTACATGGAGAGCAAAAGGCAGGGGGTGAATAAGGAGCTGGGTGCTCTCTGTAGCCCTCAAGAGATAGATGCACACAGCTCCCTTAGTCTACCTCTCTACCCACCGCGCTAGTGGTCTTCTAACTAGTGGGAGGAACACTTTATCCAAACAAAATCTATGTAAAACCTAGAATAGAACAGCTGAAACAGAGGTGACGCGACTTCAGACACCTCCACAGAGCCCCTAAGGCTCTACTGTTAGAACAGCTTTGTTCTAGAGTGAGCACAGCTGAGAGAACCCCTGTCTCCACCATCCTAATCCTCAAGTGAAAATTGATTGGCAGAGGACCTACTGTTCATGGGCTCAGAGAATGGTGCTACCTGCCTTGGATTATGGCAATGTACTTGCTTTAGAAATAGTTTCCTCTTGGGGCATGTTTGAGTATAATAAGGTAGAATTGATGAAGCAAGTTAATGATCTTAATTATCTTGCCCCACCTAAAACAGTATCAGGGTGAAGTTGAGGGAGTACCAGCCTGGAGTCCAGAAGTCTGATTGTGGTTCTTCTACCCACATGACCTTGGGCCTATATCCCTGCACCTCATTTGCTTTGGTTTCCTGGTTTATTAAATGAGGACTGGGTGGTCTCTGAGGCCCCTTCCAGCTCTGAAATTCTATTAATTTGAAATAGGCAGCATTTTGGAAAAAGGCTTTCAGTTGAAGATCTAGTCTCAGAGATTAGTGCCTGCTTGTGAGAAAATGAGCTGAGAGCCCCACAGGAGAGAATGGAGATAAAGCGGCCTAGAGTGTTTATAAACCCGTCTTCCTCATTCTTTAGCTAGACATAGCACACTTTTGACAGTCAGTTTTAGTGGGAATTTTTCATTATCCTTTGGGGTTGAGTTTTGGCCATATGAACACAGTGAATAAGTACCTCTGACTAGCTAGAACTGGAGAATGTACAGGTAGCAAAAGCAAGAGTTGCTTGAAGTAACTCTTAATGTAAGGTTTCAAAAATGTAACCTATGTCCTGTCCTCTTTTACATAGAGGAACCCCACCTCTGTTACATAGAGTGGTGTGGTGACCATTTCTCTGCCTCTGAGCTTTTAAGAAGGTGGCCCCTTTTCTTCCCTGGGACTTTGCTGGTGTATTAGTTAAAAATGGCTGCACAGCAGATTGCTCCAAATTTAGTGGCTTAAAACAAAAATGTATTACCTCATAGTTTCTGTGGGTCAGAAATTCAGGAGCAGCACAGCTGGGGGTTCTGGCTCAGTCTGTCATAAAGCTGCTATCAAGATGTTGGCAAGGGCTGCAGTCATCTGAAGGGCGGTTGGGTTGGAGGACCCACCCCTGACCCCACTCTCATGGCTATTGGCAGGAGACCTCATTTCCTTGCCATGTTGTACTATTTCAATGTCCTCATGACACGGCAACTGACTTTCCCAGAGCAAGCGATTGAAAGAGAGATAGCAGAATGGAAGCTGCGATGTCTTTTGTGACCTAATAGCAAAAGTTATTCTGTCGTTCCACTGCAGTGTGTTTGTTTGAAGCAAGTCAGTAAATACAGCCTTCACATAAGGAAAGGGAAACTGGCCTCCATCAAAGGCGGGTGTCGTGGAATCTGGGGGCAGAATGTAAACTGTCACAGCTGGCTTTGGCACTAGTTTTCTCACTGAGCTGGTATCAGGAACAGGTTTTATTTCAGTCATGCCTGGTTAATCAAGAACTTAGTGCTCACAAACTTGTTCTTGGAGCTGGGTAACTGTTGCTCTTTTCTTCCCCCTTTAAGTAACAGTGATAAAGGAACTAAATGAAGAGGGAAATTTTGAGCATATGCATTAATTTATTCAAACATTCACCAGACGCCACTGTGTACAGGGATGTAAAACAAGCACACATACTTTGAGGAATTCATGCTAGGAAAGACAGAAAAGCAAAAAAAAGGACAAATACAATACAGTGTGGTACATGCTATGGCAGAGGTAAGCATGGGGTGATTTGGGTACACAGAGAAGGAGCACCTAAGACTTGGGAGCTTAAGGAGTTGGGGACGCTTCCTAAAGCAGTGACTCCTGGCTGAGGGTTCACTTGCCACAGGACTCACATACAGAGCTTTGCGGTTCACACAGGGAAGGACCTCACTGTTCTTTTTACTTTGCTTACAGAATGTTGCTGAGGCACAGTGCATTGCCAACCAAGTTCAACTCTTTTATGCCACTGATCGGAAGGAGACCTACAGGCTGGTGGAGACCTTTAACTTTAGACCGAATGAGTTCAAATATATGTCTGTCATTGCCGAATTGGAGCAAAGTGGACTTGGAGCAGAACTGAAATGTGCCCAGAACCAGGATAAGACTTAGAGTTGTAAGGGTTGGCTCCTTACAGAGTCTGCTCAGCCCTGGGGTAGCCTAGAGCACATCTACCCCCTGAACGCTCAGAAGTTTGCCTCTGTAATGAGCAGTCTCTAAGGAGTTGTGCTGTGCGCTTACGTAAGAAGAAAAAACCGTGGAGGTGAGCCCTAATACTTGATATTCAGGAACGAAGATACCCAAACATTCTGATAATTGTATCTCAGCATACTTGAGGTTTCCTTTATAAGTGTTCGAGGTCATGATCAGAGACAGCTGAGGATCCCAAGGATCCCGCAGGATGGATGACTTGATTTTACACATTGTAACATTTTGTTACAAGTGCATTTGCATTCTGGGCATTGTGACAGCACAGTTCCCAATTGCACATAGTTCCTCATCTTTATAAACTTGTGACAGGATAAGTTTGAAGACCTGGCATATAGTTAGATGTGGGCTTTACGTACATTTTCCATGTGCCAGCTGGGTGGCCAAAAGCATCACCCAAATACCCTGTTTAGGCTCTAGAACAACCAGGTATTGCAGAAAGGATTAAGACTTCCATCTAGATGCCCCGAGTTGCCTTTAGTGTAGCTAGTTTGGAGTGTCAGTAGATTTCAGGTACACTTAAACACACAGGTACAGTGCCTGCATGTGTTTAAACCATGATTTGTTTAAACCTGCTCCTCTAATTCGGCCTTTTAGAAGCTGTGTATTTGGAGGGGGTGAACCAGTGCAGTGTAAATAAATCAAGTGTTTTGTAAGAAAGGATTGATCCAGATTTGCATGTTTCTGTGTATTATTTTTTTTAACAACTCTAAGCCAACCTACATTGGGTGGGGAGAAGATAGAGCAATAAAATATAATCTGGCTCACAATCTTTGTTACAGTCAGCGGTGACTTATAAGCTATGTGCTGTCCGTAGAGTCAGTGCTATGAGCTGATTTGATCAGAACTCATCTTTGGACTCAGTAGTTGCTTGAAACACCAAAAACGAGAAAGGAGCTCTCCAGCAGTGGAAACTCCCTTGTGGTTTGAAATATCAGTGTTGTGGCTCCAAGCTCTGTGACAGAGGAGAGGGGCATGGTTACACACCAGCCTCCTGAACCCGAGGTATCCCCCCCACCCTCACTGTTGTCCGCCGTCTTTACTGTACCTTTCCCTTTCTTGCTCTAACATGTTCCACTTTGCTGCTGCCTGAGATCTGGCTGTACCACGCTGAATATGGTGAGTGGGAATATAACCAGTACTTACCCTCTCTGTGTATGTTTTCTTCATTAGAGGTTGGGCCTGTCCCCAGGTTCTTTAAACGGGGTTGGATTTTCCATTATTTTCTGAGCGGTGTCTATTTTGTTGTACCTCTGAGAGTGTATATAGAAAAAGACAAATAGTGTTCATTTAACCTGGAAAAACTGCTAGTGTTTCACAATTTCTCTAAGATCAAGCCGTTTCTTAATGCAAATTCTGGACCTACATCTGGTCCTGACAGTTCATTTTTTGAGAAACTTGAGTCTGGGTGTTTTGAGTCCCAGGAATCTTCAGCATCAGGTGGAGCTGCTTTCATGGGTATCCATTTATGTTTGCTTTTCCATCCAGATGGACCTGGTTCCTAGCCATAGTACATTTTCATAACACCTCCACCAGAGGGTGAGAAAACGATGGGAAAAGAAATAAGAACTGGCTGCTCATGTTATTGTTCCTCCCAGCTTTTCCTTAAGTCCCTTCTTGCCAAGTTACATTGGACATGACCAAAGTGACATCTAGCTATTCTTTGTATTTATCTAGCAAGATCTGGCAAAGACCTAAAAGAAAACTGTGACATTAATCAGTATATTTTTCCCCTGGTGCAACATAGTGTTATAGGAAGTGGACAGGTTTTAGAGGTAAATGAATCTGGGTTCAGATGTATTAGCTCTATAATATTGAACAAATTATTAAAACTCTCTAATTCTATTTATCTGTAAGATGGGGATGATAATATCTCATATAGAATTTTGTGAGGATTAAATTAATTTACAGACTATAGTAGAGCTTAACAAATGTCAGCTCCCTTCCTCTTCTCTGCTCCCCCTGCCTGTCACTAAAGACCAGCACAAATGAACCTTTCGGATGTGCAGATCATTCTTCATACCAGCCGAATGAGCCAACCTTATCTCACAAGCTCTCAGACTTGAAGTTGATGTAAAGTATGTTGAGCACTTCAAAATGCAGATTCCCAAGTCCCAAGCTGCAGCCTGCTGAATCATTCATTATCTTTGTAGAAAGTGCTGGGAATCTGCATTTTAAATGTGTTCCAGATGATTCAGATGTAGGTAATTCACCAGCCACACTTTGAGAACCATTGCCTATGTGTTCTTCACACACACACATACACACACACACACACACACACACACACACAGGTCTTCTTTTCCTATGGACAATAACCATAGAATTGATTCCTTTGCCCCTTGCCTCCCACAATGGTCCCCTTTGCACATTCTACATTATGCTTATTTATGTGTCTTTTGCCCCCACTAGACTGTGAGCTCCTTGAGGGCCAGGGCTTATCTCCATCCCCAGTGCCAAGAACATGGCCTGGAACATAGAAGATACTCAGTTGTTTGCTGAATAAATAAGTGGCATGGGTTTTAGCCAAAACATTATCTTTGTGTGTGTGCCTATGTCTAAACACTCTGAATCTGAGAGAATCTCTACAGTGATCCCCAACATTTTTGGCACTGGGGGTCAGTTTCATGGAAGACCATTTTTCCACAGACCAGGGTGAATAGATGGTTTCAGGATGATTCAAGTGCATTACATTCAAGTTCATCTCCTGTACAACCCCAGTTCCTAACAGGCCCAGACTGGTACCAATACCAGTCCATAGCACAGAAGTTGGGGGACCCCTGTCTTAACACACATAGATCGAGAACTTAGTAGAAATATTTGTAAACCAAGGTATCAAATTATATACAAAATGTCTGTAAATCACCAATCTGCTGGGTTGAGTGCTCAGAGCTATTCAGTGGTCACTCCCAGAGCACCTACTGCCACCGCCGTGTTAGGTGCTGACACAGGGAGAGTAGGAAAAGCCCTGATCTCAAGCTCCATCACAGCCACTGTCTGTGCCTCTCTGCCTCTGATGCTGTGCCTCACATCTAGCACCTGGTCATAGTTTACCTTGTCTTCCCCTCAGGAGGTTTATGCTGCTACTTTTTTCTTCTCCAAAGTTTGAAAGCAGTAGCCATGTGGGTTGTGGGTTGTTTTTTTTGGCGGGTGGGGGTGGGGAGTGGTTTGTTTTTGTTTTTGTCTTTTTTTGCAGTCTCCATAATATTGACCTTTTGTCATGCTTGGAGAAGAAATACAGGTGCCCGTTTTCCCAGTCATTTTATTTAGCACGGGCCCAGCTAAAAATTTAGTAGGCACCTATTACATGTCAAGCACAGGTATAGGAAGCTGGGAAATAAAGCAAATGAGCAGGACAAATAAAGCCCCTGTTGTCATGGAGTTTATATGCTTGTAGAAAAGATGAGTAACACAATGAGATTATTTCGAATACTGGTAATGCTATAAAAACAAAAAAGATAATGTGCTTGAATGTGGAGTAGAAGCAATGACTCACTGGTCAGGAGAGAGGTGGCAGCCAATATTTGAGTTCAGGAAAAGTGCCAGGTAAAGAGAACAGCGAGTGCTGAGGCCTTGAAGCAGGGCCGAGCTCAGAATACTTGTTTCTGGGCCCAGAAGTAAAGGTTCTGTCCTTGCCCTTGAAGAGCTCACAGTTCAGCGAGTGGGACACTGACATGCATAATGACACTACGAGGCAAACTGACCGGTGCCATCTCAGAAGAGGCACAAGGAGAGTTCAAGAACACTGCCGGGTACATGGGGAATGGAAATCTTGCCAGACCATCATACCTGACCTGAAGTGCTTGGACTTCATAGGGAGTAACAGGTAGACAATATCAAAGTCTCAAAGGATATGTGTTCCATGCGAGGAGGCCCTGTAAATTCAGAGCTGGCCTCACAATATATACTCATTAACCACTAGCATTTGCTACTGGGACGTACCACCTGCCAGGCACTGTGCTAAGCCCTTTACACGGATTATCTCAATCCTTCCAAGAACCCTATGAGGTGGGCAGGAACCTGCTGGTTGGTGAGATGTGCTATTACTGCCCTCATGCCCCACCCCATTCTTCCCCACCTCCAGCTCAGAAAAAGAGGGCAACCTCTCAATTATCCCAATCCCAGCTCCAGCAGCCAAATGAGGCCTTAAGAGGCCTCAGGTGACTCTCAAGCCAGCCCCGACTCCAAGAATGTGTGTCGGTTTTCCTGCTGTCAGCTACAGAACAGCTGCACGCATCCCACATTTCTGATTCCCCCAAACTTTATTTCAGAAGGCACTGTGCTCTAATTAAGGAGGACTTTTTTGTGCTCTTCTTTGCTACATGGAGCATTTCTGTCTTGGTAATTCTCCTAATGTGACAAGTTGGTGGCAGCATTTCTACCTATTCTGCACAAAAAGGGAAGAGACTCAAAGGTCACTGCCTGCATCGGGAGCAAAGGTGGAATTGGAAAGTGACTGTCCGTGCTCCAGATTCAATGAGGTTATTTGTAACATCCACTGAGCAGGCTCAGCCCTCACATTCACAGGGTTACTTCTGAGCTCTTCGAACCTCAGGAACAGGAAGAGTTACAAGAAAAATTGGTTCAAACCAATTTTGAATCATCCCAAGCTCCCCAGAGTTTTCAGAAGAAAGTCCCTTTGAATCAGCTCACTAGAGCTTCAGGATCTGGTCCCTGGTGACCTCCGGGCTCATATTGTGCTAGGCTCCCACGCACTCCCTTCGCTCCAGCCATTCTGGATGACTGGCAGTTCCTGAATGCACTATGCCCTTTTTGCCTCTTCTGATCTTTTTAAATACTTTTGCCTACCTCAAATGTCCTTTTCCCTTTCATTAAGTTCATTCTTACTCATCTTCCAAAGTTCCACTGAAACTTCTCTACCAGAGCCTGCCTGACATCTACACCCTCCATGCTGTCCCCGCCCTGTCATGTGCTCCCCCATGCTTCCTCAGCATTTTGTGCTCCATTAAAGACTGTTTCTCCCATAGACTGGACACTTCTCAGAGATAGGGATCCTATCTTACTGGACATCATATGCCCAGTGTCCAGCATGAAGCCTGACATAGAGAGATAAGATAGCAGCAGATGTTGAAAAAGCTTCTCATGGGTGACTGCTCAACTCACACCACCTGTGTCTACAAGCCTCTCTTGCCCAAAGAGCTCCAGCCCTAGCAAACACCTTGTGATCATGTCCCAGCCCTAGGAGTGGCCATTTTATTATGTTCTTATTGCAGAGGTTACAGGTGGAAAACAAAACCCAGGGGCCATCAGAGGAGGCATCCAGGTCCGGGGTTTATAAGCAGAAAGAACTAGGAGACAATGAACAAACTTTTGGAGCAAGACCATTATTTTAAAGTAGCAGCCTAACATGTTCAAGCTCTCATCTTGGCTTACCAAGTCTTAACATTAAAAAAGACCTTAGAATCCCTGGCTGGTGTAGCTCAGTGGATTGAGCGCAGGCCTGTGAACCAAAGGATCTCAAGGATCGTGGTTCGATTCCCAGCTGGGGCATGTGGGACACACAAGAGGCAACCATACACTGATATTTCTCTCCCTCTCTCCTTCCCTTCCCCTCTAAAAATAAATAAAATCTTTACAAGAAAAAGGACCTTACAGACTGGCCAGTCACCAGCTTTCAACTGTGTCTGAAGAGATCCCAACAGTTCCTTAAAGGTAGGGACCCTGGGAGTGTGGTCCTTACCCCCAACTCAACAAGAGAAACAGTGTTTTATTTATTGGCCCTCCCATAAGCTGTCATTTGAAGAAACAGCTTCTAAAAAAAGACTGAAAAATCTTTGGCCTACCTGGTTTAACCTCCCACCCCTCTCGGCAGCCCTCTAGAGCATCCCAAGCCACTGGGCAGCTGTTTGAAAACCTCCATGATCTGGGAGCTCTCTATTCTGCCAGCTGACAGCTCTGAGGGGTAGCAAATCTGGTCAACCCCACACTGAGATCCAGCCACCTCTCACCCCCCTCTCCGGGCTTCATTCTGCCCACCATAGCTGGATCCCCCCACTTTTCTGTTTCACAGCTTTTCCTGCTAATGTATAAAGATAGTTCTCAAGTTGCTTTGGAGTCTCTTCAGCAGATTAAACAATCTTCCATTTTCCCTCTATATAACCCAAAGCCCCAGCCCCTACTTCTGGACAG